TAACCCCCTAACCCCCTAACCCCCTAACCCCCTAACCCCCTAACCCCCTAACCCCCTAACCCCTAAGGCCCCCCTAACCCCTAACCCCTAGGCCCCCCTAACCCCCTAACCCCCTAACCCCTGCTCCATAAGCTGAGTTCCGACGCGTCTGGGACAGGCAGACTGCTTACATTTGATCTTTTGAAGCTGGGTGCTCGAGACAAGAGCGTGCGTAGATCTAGGAGGTACTAGAGCGTCAGCTGTGTTCTATGCAGTCTTGATGGGTATAGCAAGCTCACTATCGATGGCAAAGAGGCGGTTGAAGGAGAGAGGATGGAGACGCGCCTTTGTTGACATCCGAAAAGCGCAAGGCAAAACGCGCAATGAGGAATGTGGCAGTGCGGCACTTTTGGCGCCCAGACCCGACCGTTTTCGGGCATATACCAACCATGCACTAGATTGCATGCATAGTCGCAAGATTGCTACATGAGACAGATCAGAAGCAGAGCTACATAACCATATAAGAAAAGTTGATGCATGTATAATCAAAAGGGTTGAGCATCAAGCCTAAGACGAAAATATAACCCCCATATGGATTTCGAGAGGTGATTTACCGGTGTATAAGGTGGGCGAGAGTAGGCAGAGACTGCTATGCAGCAAAGGCAATGGAGATGTGGTGTAGTAGATGTAGAAATGTTGACGCAAGCGAGACCGAGCCAGCAAGGCGAAAACAACTAGTCCGTGCGCATTGCGGCTCGCAAGCCAATTCCAGTCAAATCCTCATGATACCCTATGTTTTGTCTCTATATCGAAACCGGTCCCATCTTCATGCATACAGCTGGTCTCGTGCATGAGTATAGATGAGAAGCAGGGCTATCTTCTCATATAATTTAATTGACGCATGTATATGAGTGGGACCAGGCCCCCGTGCACCAGCGGATAGTATAACCCAGGTGATACGGTACGAGGCGGTTTGAGGGGAGATACCGGGGGGACGGACGAAGACTAGAGCGATCCGGGTGGTCTTATTCCCCGTAGGAGAGGCCAGGAATGCGCCCCGAGTGGTGGTTCACCGGTAGGCGTCATTCTCGGGATCCGAAGCCCAGGTGAGGCGGTCTTTCATGTTGTTCCAGACGACGATATCGGGGTGTATGTGGCACTCCGGGTAGGTGTGACCGAGAGCGACGAGTTGCTTATGGAGTTTTTCCCAGTCGCTGGACGCACTGGGGAGGAATCCGGCAGTGCGCCGAGGGCGCCCGGTGAAGGTAGTGGGTTGGAGAGGAGGAGATGGAGGATGGCTGTCGATGAGAGGGCCTCGTTTGGCCCGGAGGTGTTGTCGTGAGCAGGAGGGAAGACGGGTAAGCGATGGGAGGGCTGTGGAGGGGGTGTATGGCTGACCGGCAGAGTGGAGGATCTGAAGGGCGCATCGACGATAGCCTCTGCCAATTCGACTTGGTCCAGTCTCCTCGGGCAGCATGGCTAAACGGTCAGTCAGATCCACCAAATAAGAGGGAGGACTTACGTGGGCAGCTTATACAACAGTAGGCGTTCCACCCATACCAGATCACCCTCAAGCGCGATCCATCCAAGCCAGATCGCCCAACACCCATCCCTTCTTCCGTATCAATCGCCTCCCAATCCGACCCGTGCTAGCATCCGACCCACTCATCCCCAATCCCCCACACAGCACGATCATCTGCCCCAGTCCATCCTACGCGCGCTGACATTTCCTTCCCCGCCAGACCTCAACTTTGTCAATCCCGCCCTATGCTTCGTTTAGCGATCGCGCTTTCTGGGGCTCTTGGGCGACGCCTGTAGCTACCTGAAGAGTCAGCTTGCACACTACTTCAATGAGAGAGAGACTCACCCGACCTGGGAGACTCGACTAGGTCGCTCTCCGTGATGGTGCCTGAGTGTTCAGCGGGTAGAATGTCTGACGAGACGGTGGGGGAGCTCACGGATGGCGGCAATGGATCCATCTCGAGAGGAAGGCTCAGCGGCATCGACGTGAGCGATACCCTCGTCTGCTATATCAGCTCGAGGCTCTCTATGACAAGATCTGGGCCTCACCAATTGGTATACCCCTGTTGGGCTGAGCTTCCGCTTGCACTCGACGAGGATATATTTGCCGACAGGGGAACCCAGCCAGCTGTTGAGACAGACCGTACGCTACAAGGTCAGCTATGGTTGATGTATGTGATGTCTAACTGACTCACGGTGCCTGCGACTAAGCCCTTATCCATACCACCAGTGATCTCAAAGAAGTGAGCGCCTCGTCCTTGTCGAAAAGGCAGAATTTTCCGCCCGAAAGGTCCAGCAGCAGGAGACTCCTGTAGCTGACATCCCCCATCCGCGCTGAGAAGGGCATCCCGCCTGCCTGCCTCCTCAGAGGAGACTGCGGGATGGCCTACTCGACTTTGCTCTGCTGGAGCGAGAAGAAAGATGTATGGTATCGGTGGGGAATAGCCGCAAGATCCGGTGTCGGATCGACGCGGGAAACTGAGCCGTTCTTGAGTCTTGACGGTGTCCATCCTCATCACCAATACCTTCCTCATTGATGCTCAGTAACGCGATCGCAGGTCCATCCAAGCAGCGACTACGAGCCTACAAGGCATGCGAGAATTGCAGGCTGCGCAAGATCAGGTGTACCGGCGAGATACCATGTCCAGCTTGCATCTCGGCGGAGATTGCGGACAAGTGCACGGTGCGGAACAAGGCAAAGCCGAATAGGTGAGCAAGCTATACCGGGTATCGCTGATGAGCAGAGCTCTACCGCTCAAGATTAGTGGTCGTAGCGACGCAGGGCCGTCCAAGTCTCCCACATCAGAAGCGGAGGATCGACTTGGTCCAGCGACCTCGAATCAATCTCCATCTCTCGGACTCTCACCTTCAGTACGAGCGGACTTCACGCTGGGTACTGCTACGCTATCTCCAGCGGCAGCACCGACCTACTCGTTCTCATATCCGGAACCATCCCCTCATCCTACCCATCCCAGTCCGCAATACGCCCCGTCTGACCAACACGCTTCTCCCACGACGGGTCTCAACGTCCTCGGATCATCGCCCTCGGTCTCGTCGGTCCAGGCTGGCCCCTATGTTTCCCATGGCGTCAATCCGGCGCGTAGGAGGAACCCTCTGGACGTTCTAGAGGATAGACTCCAGATATGGTGTCAAGCTCAAGGTACGTAGCTGGCTAGACGACACTGACGCGCAGGTGTACCCTTCGGTCCTCTCATCTTCCACGACGAGCCACGTATCGGCAAGATCGAGTCCACCGTCCTCCCCACCGGCCAGGCTCTCATCGACTTTGAGGACAGGTTGATGGGCGCACTCGTTACCGCAGAAGACCTCGACCGGCTCGAGGTTCTCGACTGTCCTCGCCTCCTCAACATGTACTCCCGCTATCGCGCTCTTCCCACATCCCTCACCGACGATCAGACAGCCCTGATCTACGCCTCACTCTGTATGGCGCGCTTCACTCAGCTGCGCGGGGGTGTCGCGACGGGAATGACGGAGCCGCATACATTGGCGAGGGAGGATGTGACCTACTATCGGATGGCTCGCGCAGCTTTGGCGTCATGGGGACGAGCGAGTATTACAAGCATGTGTGAGTGCATCATAAGGTGGAGCTGATAGCAGGGGCGCTATTCTGCTTGACGACCTATATCCAGATCAATGGTTCAGCAGGGGAACATGGGGAGGTGTTGGCGCTGTCGGCGTGGCAAATCAGGGCGCTGGGATTACATCGTCGCGAGACCGCTCAACTGTATGCGCCGCAGGATATGAGTGGACCGCTGCTCCAGGCATACTGCTACAGCGAGACGTGAGTACGAGTCTGGCCGGGCTGATGCAGATTACGAGCCGTCATGACCGATCTCTCCCCCTCCATACCTATCGCCGAGCTCGAATTACCGCTGGAATCATGCGTACAAGGTGTCAACGCCGCAGCATACTCCGCCCATCTACACGCTATCAATTATCTTCGTGACTGGTCCAACCATCAGATCGACGTTACTACCGCGGGATATCTGGCTGTAGCCGAGGAGGCGTGGAGCGAGGATTTGGATGGGATCAGAGCGCAGCACGAGACGGGATTCGACAAGGTCAGAAGGGGATGGGCGGAGATGCGGTTCCACTGGTGAGTATGCTCTGAATCACTGTCTCGATATGAGTTACGTCGGCTTGGAGGTTATGAGAGGGTAGGGCTGAGAGCTGCGATCAAGGATCGTCTCGAGGGGAGCTCTGATGAGGGTAGCGAGGCCGGACAGGTGGTTGGGCGAGATAGGAAGGATAGGCTGGGGCCGGGAGGACGGCTGATGATCTGCGTCGACGGATGGTGCTGGGGTGGGGGACAACGGGACAGTGCGGTGTGAGATACGACGGGGCGATGTGGTCAAGGGTGCATCAGAGAAGAGCTTTTGAGGGGAGGGACGGAGGGACGGGGAAGGGGCAGGGCCTCGAGCGGGATGGGGTGTTTGTCACGAGGGCGCAGCATGGTCTGCTTCGGGAGGATGGCCCTATCCGCGAGTGGAGCAGGACAGAGAGGTTCGCAGGGGTTGGAAGGAGAGGGATGCTGGACGTACATGGAGGGGGCAGTAGCGAGGGACTGTGTCGAGGTGTTTGGGCGGATCAAGCTACTTCTTCAGGCTGACTTTGAGCTAACAAGCACAGGCTCAGACTACTCCTCCATCTCCCTCGCATGTCCCTCTCTCCCGGCCGAGCCAATCAAGCTACCATCTACTCTGCCCGGTCCGTCATCAGCATCCTCAACATCCACACCGAAGCTGCTTTCATCGGCAAGCTCGACCCATCATGGCCACAGCTCAAGCGTATCATCACATGCGGCCAGGTCCTTGTGCTGTGCTGCGCTCGAGGAGAGGTGCAGCAGCTGGAGGGGGCGGATCTCTTTACCAAGTTGATTGCATTACTGGAAGCGCATGTGGAGTTTTGGCCAGTGGTATACGGGGCGATCGAGGGGTATAGACAGGCAGCGGGAAAGCTCGGTGAGTACATCATGTGATCAGAGCTGATAGTAGGTATTCATCTTGCTACTGGAGATCAGCCTACTGAGGGCGTGACCAACGACTTTGCCCCGTTCCAACTGGACGATGACGCTGCTGGATGGTTTCTGGACCTGGATTTGGGAACTTTTGCTCAGGATATGGGGGGTGTTCCGAGCTGGTAGATGTATGTATCAACTCTCAAAGTCCGAGATATCGCCTAGCCTTAGACACAAGCAGGTCCTCATGCTAGAGCTGAGTTGAGTGAGTCACAGTGACTGACCAGCATGGACCGGCGTCAGTCGGCTCTCGGCCCCGAAGGTGTGATGGGCCGGATAAACTGCGGCTGCCCAGCAATTTGCCACCCCGAGATACCGGCCGACATTTCCCGACTCACCCACCACCACCCGCGGGTCGTCCATGCTGATCTCTTTGCTCATACCCGCTCATGATACTCACCTGATCTGCAGCTGCGGCTCGGCTATAGCGCGGTTCCCATGAGGTGGGATGCGGGGCGATGTGGGGAGCCGCTCATTCTATATATGGGCCAAGCGGGACCTCCATCTGCCCCCATCTTTCTCCTCATCAACATCCTCCACCATGTCCGTCGTCCCTCAAGCCCAAGCCCTATCGTTCGAGGAGAAGAAGGATGCCGACGAGATGCTCGACCACAAGGACGCCATCGAGCACGAGGAGGTCGGTACTCCTGACCTCGTCTCGCACTTTGCCAACATGCCTCGCGGTCAGGCAATCCGCAAGTTCTGGCGAGTCTTCTTGATCGGGATCTTGATCACCAGTGCTGGAATGTGAGCTCGCACCTGGTCCTGCTATGCAGCTGTGGCTGAAGCTGTCCAAAGAAGTTGTGCTGATGTTCAGATACGCTGGTTACACAAGCGCCATCCCCGGCTCTATCGTGGCCAACTTGGGTTTCATCGGTGGGTATCTCATAGTCTCGACCTTACGCTCACGCTGACCTGCCAGATACCTTTGCTACTGTAACCAACCCCCAAGGGCGCAGGATTCTTGACGCCAACTATGTCGGTCTCTGGGGCGCCATCAGCTACGTGACCCAGGCCATGGCTCAATTCGCATCCCCCTTTACGGCTCAAAAGTTCGGTCTACGATTCAACATGTGGCTCTTCACCATCATGAAGCTTGTTGTGAGTCGTTTCATTTCACCTTGGAGAGGGCGAGGGCGGACCAGGGGAGATTATGGAGAAGATCAAGAATTTGAAGAGCTCTCGCTGACACCTAGACTATCATCACCGAGATCTTCTCTACCAGCTGGTGGCACTTCCTCCTCGCTAAGGCCTGGAACGGTTTCGCGGCGGGTCTGATCGGCACTTCACTCCTCTCCTACGCATCCGAGATCACCATGCCCCAGATGCGCGGTACCGTCCTCTCGTCCTATGCCTTCTACTTTTCCCTTGGCCAGCTTGCGTCGGCTATTGCTTTGGATATCATCAACAGGGTGAGTTCTTGCGTGGGTCATAGCTGATCCTAGACCATGCCATATGACTTCCGCTTGGCCTTCTACTCTCAATTTGTCTTCCTCGGCATGTGGCTTCCCATCCTTATCCTCCTCCCGGAATCGCCCGTCTGGCTGTACAAGCGCGGCAACCACGAGAAGGCCAAGCGAGCTCGAGCCAGGCTCATCGGCAACGTCGAGGGCTTTGACGTCGAGCACGAGTACGCCGTCTTCGCCCAGGACATCGACCGCTCTGTCGCCCTCTCTGCCGCCCATGGTCGATTCAGCATGCTCAACTGCTTCAAGGGGACCAACCTCCGCCGGACTCTCATCTCCACCTCCATCCTCTGCGCCCAGGTGAGTCTGCTGCGCGGAACTCGCTGATGTTAGAACTTTGTCGGTGTTCCCCTCATGCTCAACGTCGTCTACTTCTTCTCGCTCGTCGGCCTCACCAACGCCTTCACCGCCAACCTCATCCTTTTCTGTGTCCTGCTCTTCGGTGTCATGGTTTCATTCTACCTGGTCGACAAGGTCGGTCGTCGGCCCTTACTCCTCGGCGGTATCTCAGTCATGGCCGTCTGCGTCACCATCTTTGGCGGTCTGGGCTTCATCACTGTCAGCCCTACGATCGGGAACGTCATGATTGTCTTGATGGCGCTTTGGGCTTTGTCTTACGCTATCTCTATTGCTCCTATCGGTGAGTCCTTGATCATCTGAACCAGTGTCGCGCTGACATTGCAGGCTGGATTGCCCTTGTTGAAATGAGTACGCCAAGCTTGCGAGTCCAGACGGTCGGTATCGCTGCGCTCATGCAGTCCTGCGCCAACGTTTTATTCGTGAGTGACTACACAGACTTGAGCTGATGGCAGAGCTACACTGTCCCCCTCATGCTGTCCCCGCAATACGCCGGCTGGGCTGGAAAGACTGGTCAGTTCCCTCCTCACCCGCTAGTCTCGAGCCCAAGCTGACTCGCAGGTCTCCTCTTCGGCGGTCTCGCCTTCTGCACCCTCATCGCCGTCTACTTCCTATTCCCCGAGACCAAGAACCGCACCTACGCAGAGCTGGACGAGCTGTTCGAGGCCAAGATCTCTGCCAGGAAGTTCTCCTCGACCAAGACTGCCGTATCGACCGCCAACGATGTCTTGCAGGCCAGCAGGGCTCAGTAAGAGGGTTTGTTTGGGCGAAAGATCTGGAGGGATGATCCGTAGTATCAATATCTGTCATGTATAGGGTACCAAGCACCTTCCAGGCCGGCGCTTACTGCCAAGTCTCCTGGTCAGTGTCCTCGTACCTGGACACGCTCAGAGTGCCCCGGTGCTACCTCTTACTATATCCTTGGGTGATATAGTGGGGATCTGGGAGGCCGAAGATATGATTAGTATAGCATCAACTGGGTTCCCCCTACATCCACTGCCAAGTGATCAGGCGAGGAGTCTAATGGGGATCTCTTGTCAGCCCCGAGGTAGACAAGCTCCGAGGCTCCCGTAGCCAGTGTTACCTGGTTCCACTTACCCGACTCTCTCGCTGATGGTCCTCCTCCTCCACTCCTTTCTTCGTCAGACAGGATCACGCTTGACCGAGTGGAAGCGAGGAGATCAGCCTTGGCTGATGGCCTGTGATACGCCAGTGAGGGAGATCGCGCGGTGCAGAATGTGGATCATCATCAGTGCTAAAGTCAATGGCGTACAGTCTTGCCTCACTCCCGCCAGCGCTCAAGTTGTAGAGAACGGCCGTCGTCGGATGTGCCTCACTACAGTTAGTTAGGACAGAGGGTCGTTAATAGATAGCTGACGTCGACGCCGAACCGCAAGCAGTACATCACAGCTCCGTCAAATCCACAACACTCAGACTTTGGTCTTCTTCGCCTTGTGTCCGACGTGCGCATGGTCATGCTCAGCATGGATGTGCTTGACCCCTCCCGCTTCCTGTCCTTCTGACTCCAGCTGTTTGAAATCCTGCGCTTCGTTGTCAAGATGCTCCTCCGTGCCGTCATCCCATTCCTCCCACCCATCTGCTACATCAGCGCAGCTCTGAAGGATGAGACGCAGACTCACCATCGTACATCTCGTACAGCTTCTCCATCTTCTTCTCTTCCTTCTTGCGCGAGTTCATAAGCTGAAGAGTCAGCACGATCCGCCTGTAGCTGTCGGTATCTCACCTTCTCCCACTTGACCCATTCAGCATCATCCAGCAAAGCGGTATTCAGAGTCCGAGTGATCAGATCCTGGTCAAGACTCTGACCGATAAAGACCACTACAGATCAGCTCGCCTCCATTCAGCGATACGAGAAAACTCGCCCTCCTGCCTGCGATCGCCCCACGGCCCAAAGAAGTCCTTCTTGATCAACTCCTTGATTTGCTCATCCTCCGTCGGCCATTCCGCCTCGTCCACCGCGCACATCCACGGCGCTCCTCCATTCAACGTCCACATACATCCCGCCTGGCTCCACTCCCCCGAGACCCGAGGTCGAGTAGCGAGCCAGATGAAGCCTTTGCTCCGGAGGACGCCGGACCAGATGGGCGAGGCGCGCTTGAAGGCGATACGGGCGGGGAGGTCGAGCTCGGCCTTTTCAGCTTGAAGGCGGGTGAAGATGGCTTCCTTGGACTCGAGTATGGGACAAGCGTCGTCGGATGTATTAGAGGCGTCGTCATCGTCGGTGTCGGAGGGGTTCTGGAGGATGCAGAAGGGTTCCTTCATGAGCTCCCAAAGGCGTTTGGGGTGGAAAGGGCGTCGAGCGGTGTAGACGAAGGAGCTGATACCGTACCTGCAGATCAGCTTGATCGGACATTCACTCACTCTTCAGTCTCGGGCTCGGGGATCATCTTGACTACTCCCATCGCATCGGTGTACTCCCCTACTTCTCGCAGAGACTGGAGCCACCCCGCCCCGACGGATGCCTTGTTGAAGTCGAAGAGGTTGGTATTGAGGAGCTCGGCGATGGGAACTTTGGAGTAGGAGGTACGGAATATCTTGGCATCCCTGAAGACGTCAGCTAGAGTCTGAGTGCGGGCAGGCGACGTACGGATTGAGCGTCTTGACCAGGGCCTCCGCCTTGTCCACCTCTGCCTTGCTGACCACGTCTGTCTTGTTGAGGATGATGATGTTGGCGAATTCGAGTTGATCAGTCAAGCTGTTGTCAGCTAGAGCCCAGGAGCGACTCACAGATCGGTGATATTCCTCTCGTCCTCTGGATCCACGTCCTTGCCGAGCCGGTCCGTCAAGAAGTCGGTCGTGTCAAAGTCGGCGAGGAAGGTAGTGCAGTCCACGACGGTGACGCAGGTGTCGAGCCGAGCGACCTTGGAGAGTCCTCCATCCTTGATGAGCTGGGCTAGGCGGAGGCGGGACGAGTCGTCGGTATCCCCATCCGCGGGCAGGCCCTCGTAGATCTCTTGCACCGACTGGTCCGCTACCGACTCGGCAAACTCAGAGGTGAACGTCTCGGCGACTTGAATGGGCTCCGAAATCCCTGAAGACTCGATGAGGAGGTAGCTACAGTCAGCTCCGGCCTGGATGAGACTCACTCAAAGCTGCCCATCTCGGCGAGTTTGGCAATCTCCTCCAACAGGTCCGCGCGGAGAGTACAGCAGATACAGCCTGCCCATCAGCCACAGCTCATAATGCGACTTACCATTCTGCATCTGGACAATCTTCTCTCCCTGCTGGGTGAGCTTGTGGTTCTTGATGAGCGATGCGTCGATCTGGTTGTCAGCTGTGTTCAATCGTGTGGACTCACGTTCAAAGCGCCCATATCATTCACGATCAGAGCACATCTCAGGCCATGGTCCTTGGACTTGAGGATGTTGGAGAGGAGCGTGGTCTTGCCGGATCCGAGAAAGCCAGACAGGAGTGTGACGGGCAGGCGCTTGTCGTTCTCGCCTGTGGGGATGGTCATGGTTGTTGATGGACTTTGATTGACGGGCTGAGAGGAGAGTGAAGGGAGAAAGCATGGCCAATTATCCTCTGGGTTGGAGTCCTATGAGTGATCTGGCGGAGCTTGAGAACTGGGCGGTCTCTCTAGCCTTGCTGAGATGATCAAGGAGGGTCGACAACGACCGCTGAGGGCCCCACTAATGGCCCCTCGGTCCATCCGCCTCGGATCAGTAGCTCATCAGGTTGTCAGTGTCTTTGAACATCTTTAGGATTCCCAGGACAGCTCCCCTCCGCTTCCAGGCCATTTGTTGTCCTCTTCAAGGACTGGGCATAATGTATAGTTGATGAACGATGTTGACGGTGCTGATTAGGTTGAGAGGGGTGATCCGTGCGTTGGTTCTGAGAATTTCGCTGGACGATCGTCCAGCCAACTTTTCTTCCCATCTTCCTTTATCACTCATACCCATATAGTATAGCCAACAAGCAGCAGCAGCCATGACAGATTCACCACACGCAGAGCTGCGGAACGGCATCTCAGAGATGTTCACAGGGGTGGAATCGCCCATCACATCCTCGTCCTCGGCGAGTGGGAGCAGCTCGAACGGGTATGCCAAAGGATTCGCAAGTGGGGAGCCTAATCCCGATCATGGGGTCATCACTCCGCTTGGATCGCCTCAGCTCTCACCTACATCGTTATCAGGACTATCGTGTGGGTCTCTTCGAGCCGGGGCCGGGAACGGATGCGACAAGGAAGGACATTGGCTGATTGGTAGTGTCGTCCGATGGAGAGCTGGAGCAAGAGGTGGATATGGACCTGGACGTCTCGGCGGCCGACGCAGAGAAGGCTCAGGAGATTAAAGTCAAGGCCAATAAGGCTTTCGCAGGTGAGTCTAAGCTTGCAGTCTAGTTGGATCTGGTTGTTCGGGGTGGCCGGCGGAATTGCTAGCGGAACTGGAGTTGTCGATTTTGGATGTGGTGGTGGCGGGAGTCATACAGTGGCAGGATAGGCGTACTATATGGCGGGAGAAGATTATAGCTAGGAGCTGGTGGACGGAGGCAGGCCAGTGCGGCGCGGGTTAATGAGCGCTACCTCGAAGCTCAGGCCATACCCACGCGCACATCTGCTAACCTCGCAGACAAGGACTTTGCGACCTCAATAGAGCTCTATACCGAGGCTATACATCTGAATCCCAAAGATTCTACCTTCTGGAATAATCGAGCGATGAGTAAGGGCAAGATGGAGGAGCATGGGGGAGCTATTGCGGATGCTAGTGAGTTGTGCTGGACGATAAGGGTACCTGCCGTCGATCGGTGCTGTAGGCGAAGGACGGCGGAGATGGCGGATGGTATACCTGGGCTAGCGATGGCTGGATAGGAGGCAGCTGGAGCTGCGTTGTGCGAGCTGGGCGGACACGAGCGAGATGTGTGGTCTGTCGTGCTGGGGCAAGGGCTGCTGGACCTGACTGAGCTACGTGCCAACACAGCTGACGCTCAGCCCGCGCCATCGAGATCAACCCCAAATACGCCAAAGCCTACTTCCGCCGTGGTCTCTCCTACCTCTCCATCCTCCGCCCTACCCTCGCCGTACCCGATTTCAAGAAAGCTCTTGATCTTGACCCGACAAGCAAGCCCGTCCAAGCTCAACTGGCCGCCACCAAGAAGCTGATCTATGCTATCGAGTTCGAAAAGGTCAGTCCTGCCCGTCCAGCGTGTTGGCTCTTAGCTGACTACTAGGCAATCTCAATAGGAGAAACCAAGACCACCTCGACTCGGTGTCTGGAGATGATCGATCAGGGCGCGTGTATGCTCGACCTCAAACAAAAGTCCGAACACATGCCCCTCCCTATCATCCCTGACGACCCGAAGGCGAGATATACACCCACGGCGGAATGGGTCGAGGGGATGATTGAGAGCTTCAAGAAGGGCGGGAAGGTGCCGCGGCGGGTAGCATGGGAGATTGTGCTGGGTGTCAAGGCGGCGGTAGAGAAGGAGAAGAGTCTGGTGGAGATTGAGATACCGAAGGGATGTACAGTGGAGATTATTGGGGATAGTGAGTCTGTTGAGTCTGGTGATGAGAGATGTAGCTGACACAACAGCTCATGGAGTAAGCTGCTACATTGGAAGCGAATGGCCAATAGCTGACCATCCAGCAATTCTTCGACGTCTGCAACCTCCTGTCAATGACAAAACCACCATCAGATACGCATTATCTTGTCTTCAACGGTATGCTTCTTTCTTTCAATTCTGTATCTCATGCCTGTTCTATCTCATACCCGTCTCCTTCCGGACCCTGCTGATTCTCAGGCGACCTAGTAGACCGCGGAAGCTGGTCCGTGGAGGTTGCCCTCACGGTGTTCGCGTACAAGTGGCTCTTCCCAGAACGGGTGTTCATCAACCGCGGGAACCACGAGACCAACGGTGAGCTAAAGGCTCTCCGATGTCCACTATGAGCTCAAGCTGACCCCAAAGACATGAACAAGGTATATGGATTTGAAGGGGAATGTAAAGCCAAGCTGGGCGATATGACCTACAAGCTGTTTGGGGACGTCTTCACCATGCGTGAGTCCTACTCTTTTCGACCTTCCCTCCTTTGCCTGCACCCCTCTCGACCTCAGATTCTCAGCTCAGACCAACATACATGAGTAGCCCATATCTAATATCCAGTGCCTCTCGCTACCCTCGTCACTGCCTCCCAGCCGCCCTCAAACCCCAAAAGCGAAGGCTCGCAACCCGCCATTCTCTCGCCAGAAGGCAAGAAGCGGTACTTTGTCGTACACGGTGGTCCACCAGTCAGCAAGGATGGGGTCACGCTGGATGAGGTGCGGGATATCAAGCGGTAAGCTTGAGCTCGAATTTTCTAAGCGGGAAGATCCTCGGTCGGGGCAATCTCAGCGGGGATGAGCGTCGAGTACAGGGATCGACAAGGGGACAGGGGCGTAGCTGACCTGGTAGCTTTGGTGCCCAGCCCGGTCAGGAGGGTTTGATGTGCGAGGTGAGCACATTCATGTCAACTATCGGTATCGAATGATAGCTGATTGGTATAGTTGCTCTGGACAGATCCGCAAGAACAGCCCGGTCGCGGTCCGTCAAAACGAGTAAGCTCTCCATTCCCGCTCCTTAGTGCACCTCATCATATACACTCTACACTTCCTTGATTCCCTGCTGACCTACAGGGCGTCGGTCTCGGCTTTGGCCCCGACGTGACTCGGCGCTGGTGCGACCTCAACTCGATCACCGCCGTCATCCGCTCACACGAGGTCCGGGCCGAAGGCTACGCCATCGAGCACGACGGACTCTGTATCACCACCTTCTCATGTCCCAACTACTGCGACAATGTCGGCAACTCGGCGGCGTACATTACGATGCAGGACGATGGGGAGCTGAGTTATCATCAGTTTGGACCGGTGCCTCATCCGGACGTCAAGCCTATGGCGTACGCGAGCGGGTTCTCGGGGATGTAGGACGGATGGGCGGATAGGGTCGCGAGAATCCGTCGGGGCGGAAGCGGAGGGACGCAGACTAAGGGGTGATGCGGGATTGGAAGATCTAAAGGGAGCGGAGGTGCGAGGTCGAGAGGCGAGGTCACATTGAGTACCGCCGGAATAGCCGCGCTGGATACTTCGGGATATGATCTGCATAGCAATGTAGCCAACTATCCAACATGCACAAGCTCTACGTCCCAAATAGTCCGCCTCTAGCTTCTGCGGCTGCATCTTATACATGCTGCATCGAAGACAGATTTACAGCTACACTTCCAGAGTCGTCGGAGCCGCCGGCATCCGTCATAGCCGCAACTCGACCAACGAAATTTGTTGACACTTTGTCATCATCATCTCTCATCTTGATAGTCACATCCACGCACATCGACTATCGGAAGTCATACAGCTCTCAGCTGAGCTCACCGCGCTAAGCATCAGCCGCTCCGAAAGCCTGAAACGTACGCCCTACCGCGCAGACGAGCGCGACACAAGGTGCCTCCTCATCGCTCGGACCCACCCGAAGAGGTCATCCCTCTCCTCGAGATGGGGTCCAGGTTTGTCGAGGGTCTCGCCGACGATGAGAGCAGAGGTGGCGGTCCTTCTTCGTCTGCCATACGAGACGAGTCTGGGTCAACGGAGCGGAATCTGCGGGATGGGGATGAGAAGGGGTCGAGAAGCCATAGTCGGCGGAGTATGTTCACCAATGCTGCTTCAGCTACAGGTAAGCCTAATCCCTCCGTCCTTGATAATCCGTATCAGCTACTAAAGGTCTAATCCGCGAGCCAGCTGCTGGCGATCCGTAGGACCCAGCTGACTTTATAGACAAAGAACACCGCATGACCCTCCTTTCCGGAATCCGCCTCTACCCCAAAGCCATCTTCTGGTCCATGCTCATCTCCTCCCTGTGCGCTATGGAGGGGTACGACGTCTCGCTCGTCGGCAACTTTTACGCGTTCCCGCCGTTCAATCAGCAATTTGGGGAGCTGCAGCCAGGCCCGGCGGGAGGGTATCAGGTACCGGCGAGATGGCAGACGGGGCTGAGCGTGGGGGCGCAGGGAGGGCAGATTGTGGGGCTGATCAGTGAGTCGATCAAGGTCATGAGGAGGGGGATGCGTCCTCGTTCTCGTTGAGAAGACGCTGGAGGGGAACCGATGATGAGGCACTAAGTGAGGCGGATACCGCGCTGACACTGCAGTCAATGGCTTCCTCACCGAACGGATCGGATACCGCAAGGTTATCCTCGTCTCGCTGCTCTGGCTCACGGCTGTCACTGCTCTGTTCTTCCGAGCTCAGAATCTGGGCATGCTGCTCGCCGCGGAGATTCTGGCCGGGGTACCATGGGGAGTCTTTCAGGCTAGTAAGTCAGCTATTGGATTCGCTCTGAACGGCTCGCCGGGGACCTGGAAGGGGGGATCGGGGCGGGGACCCGGACGCAGGCTATATCCACTGTATCAGGGGACCAGGCTGATCTCTCAGTCGCCATCTCGTACGCGGCCGAGGTCTGCCCAGTCGCGCTCCGAGGCTACCTCACTACATGGGCCAACTCCTGCTGGGGCTGGGGCCAGATCATCGGTATCGCCGTCATCCGCTCTCAGTTTGGACGCACAGACGACTGGGCCTGGCGTCTCCCCTACGCCCTCATGGTAAGCTGTCGTAGCGCGTCCCCTGGGCCTGAGCTGACACTATCAGTGGATGTGGTACCCTCCCCTCCTGCTTGGCGTCTACCTCGCGCCAGAATCACCATGGTGGCTCGTCCGCGTCGGCAAGATCGACGAAGCAAGGCACTCGCTCTCGCGCCTCACGAGCTCGGGGAGGGATATCGAGTATGATGTGGACGAGACGGTGGATATGATCAGGCATACGACCGAGTTGGAGCGGGAGGCACATACGGGTGCGAGCTATGCGGATTGTTTCAGGGGGACGAATTTGAGGAGGACGCTGCTGGTGTGTGGGATATGGGCGACTCAAGTGAGTACCCGCTTCCAGCCCGGATATCAGGCCTAGCTGACCCCCAGAACTTTAGCGGAAACACCTTCTCCAACTACTCGACCTACTTCTTCGAGCAGGCCGGTTTGGGTGGGACCGCAGCGTACGACTTTGCGCTCGGTCAATATGGTATCAACACCGTCGGCGTCTTTGGTGCATGGGCGCTGATGTCTGCGGGGATTGGGAGGCGGACGCTGTTCGTGTATGGCCTGTGCGGGCTGTGCGTGACGTTGATGATCATCGGGTTTGTTGGGATTGCGCGAGGGAGGGTGGAGGACCGGACGGTGGGGCTGGTGACGGGGAGTCTGATGCTGCTGTGGGCGACGATCTATCAGATCACTGTTGGGTGAGTACTGGTCAGGAGAGAGCTGATGACAGTACGATCGCATTCTCGCTCGTGGCGGAGATGTCTACTCGGCGATTGCAAGTCAAGACTATCGCTCTTGGTCGAGCATCGTACAATGTCGCCGCTATTATCGTCAATGTCTTGACGCCATACATGATCAATCCGACCGCATGGGTGAGTACCTCAGTAATTGGGATGGATGAGAGCTGACCAGCAGAACTGGCGCAATTATGCCGGATTCTTCTGGGCGGGGACATGCTTCCTCTGTATCATCTTCGCCTACTACTGCGTCCCCGAACCGTCCGGTCGATCCTTCGCCGAGCTGGATCTGCTGTTCGAGCGCAAGGTGCCAGCGCGGGATTTCGCAAAGACCGAGGTGGATGTGTTTGCGGAAGGTGAGGGCAAGGTGCGGAGGGGTAGGGAGCTGGAAGGCTAGGGAGGAAGTCATAAACGTTGTACTATATCTGCCGAAGATGATCGTGTAGTCTATCTGGAGTGGCCGTCAGTGCGACCGAGACAGCCTGCTGCACTCTGCATATGACTGGACAGCAGTCCGCTACAGTGCCACAATGCCAAGCCCGACTGTGCTCCACCAAGCCTCGCCGACACCGCCCAACTTGTTTTCACTTTCGCTTTCTATATCATCCATTCATCAAAGAGTACCTACCTATCTGATCAGCTTCATCCAACCAGTGAACAGTCTGCTGTAGTCATCATAAAGTTCACCGTCCTCAGTGACCAGGGTGGGTGAGACTCCGCTCAAATTTATGAGCCACCGCTGACCTGATAGCGCAAGCCCACCACGCCCTTGTCCCGCGGTACGACCCATCCAACCCGTCCTTCACCTACCATGAACCCGCCATCTCGCAGGTCCTCGTCCTCGGGACGTTCCTCTACCTGCTCAACGTGTTCGGCTGGGTGGCTCAGCGCTTCTTGAATGCGGGTCTTCTCGGGCAAATTCTACTCGGTGTAATCTATGGGTCGCCGCTGGCGGGATGGCTAGATCCGTCATGGGAGGAAGCCTTCGTTGCTGTCGGATATGTGGGACTGTTGATCGTAGTCTTTGAAGGTGAGCCATCGCTTTGGGCAGAGCTGACTCTAGCCGGAATCCACTCGACCATCTCGCACCTCACGGCGCTCCTCCCGCTCTCGCTCTGTATCGCCCTCACCGGCGTACTGCTGCCTATCGGTCTATCCTTCATCCTCCAGCCGCTCGCTGGCTTCAGCTACCTCCACTGCTTTGCGGCCGGCTCAGCCCTCGCTTCCACCTCGCTCGGTACCACCCTCGCCGTCGTTTCTCCCGCCGCGCTCGGGTTTGACCTCCGGCGCACTCGGCTTGGTACCGCCCTCATCAGCTCGGCGGTCATTGACGATGTCATCGCGTTCGTTCTCGCCAAGATCCTCGGCGTCATTGGCAACAACCCCGGGGCATCCGGCTCTGTGCTCGGCGGGGAAATCGGGCGGACTATCGGCGTTACAGTCGGGATCGGCGCGGTCAGCTTGCTCGCGGCCAAGTACGCCCTGAAGCCGCTATACAGGGCGATCCGGCGTCGCAAACATCTCTGGGAGGAGGCAGCTTGGGGCGGGGAGCGATTCCTGCTCTTTGGGATGTTTCTGCTCTGGCTCGGCTTGATTGCCGGGACGGGGTATGCGGGGACATCGCCGCTGTTTGGGGCGTACCTAGCCGGCCTCGTCGTCGCTTTCATCTCGGAGGAAGACGACAAGCCGGACCACAGCATCAAGCTCCCTTCACGCTTCCCCCGCGCACCCACTATCGATCTCAGTAACCTCGGAACGACAAATCTCAGCCGCGCCATTACCCTCCCCGAAACCACCTCTATGCCCCCGTCCACCAAGCCCGCTCCCTTCCTCACCGCCGGAACGCGCGATGACACCGCCGAGGCTACCCCCAAAGTCCACCTTCAGACCTCGTTCGACGGATACATTGCCCAGCCGCTCTTCCGCCTGCTGCTCCCCATTTTCTTTGGGTCGATCGGGTACTGTATCCCGTTCGTTCCGCTCTGGAGGGGAGAGGTCATCTGGCGAGGGGTGATTTATGCGGTGCTCATGATACTCGCCAAGGTGGGGTGCGGGCTGTGGCTGTTTGTCTGGACAAAGTCGTGGGCGTGCTGGAGAGGGGCGGTGGTATTGGGTCTGGCAATGGTCGCGAGGGGTGAGATTGGGCTGCTGTGAGTGCTTTCGCCTTGGCTGATGGCGGTTTTCGCCCGGTGGTGGGCGACGAAAGAGGGAGATTGAGCAGAGGATACAGATGGAGACAGCAAAGATAAGTGGAAGACGGTGGGGCCTAGGGATTGGGGCGAGCGAGTGGGGTCGGAGGGTTGCCGGAATGGGCAAGCGGGAGGGGTTAAGGTGATAAGGGGAAAGCGAGGGATCTGCAGATCGGGTCGGAGTGGAAGAGGTGCTGCGGAAGTCTGACTCTGACTACTGGTCCAGCTCTGTTCCGGCAGCCTCGCGAGGCTATACGAGCTTGTTCAATCGCCATTCCCCTTACCTATACCTTACACTCCATCTCCTTACTTCTGCCAAGCTAGATCATCGCTTCCCGCCCCACCCCATCTTATCCGAACATAGCTGATCTCATCAGGATCTCTCAAATCGCCTACACCACCTCTACTCCTCTCCTCCCCGACGACCAATTCCTCATCGTCACCTGGGCTATCGTCCTCTGCACTATTGCCGGTCCTGTTGCTGTCGGGATCGTCGTCAAGCGCTGGGGCAAGACGATCTTGGCGGGATCATGGGATTGATACCCGGTGATCAGCATCGTCGATGTCCAGGTAGTATCTGTAGATGGAGAGTTCATCCGAGCATCTCTATAGCAATAGTGCTGAACGCGATATGCAGAAGATGCGGATGGCGAAGGACTGCTTCCACATGGGGACTAACGATTGGTGGATCCGCCTGTTAGAGATGCTATTCTTGCTGCTCCACAGGCATAGCAGCGCATGTGAGACATCTAGCCTAGACGGAGTTCACCGAGCGCGTTCCTCAACGTTGAGTGATGCTCATCTACCTTGTATACTCATCTCAACATCACATAACTTATACATACAGTGATCCATCCCTACCACACACCCCATCATCACCGTCTCGCTCCACCGCATTACCTACCACCCCGAGAATCACAATGTTCCTCGGCTATCAACGCATCTCCGAGATCAAGGCGTTGAAGGGGTCGACGTTCAGCCTCGATGAGGGCGGGTTTACCAAGAGTGTCAAGCGTATCAGAAGGGAACTGAGAGTTAGCCGAAACGCAGCTGGAAGATGGAGCGAGTAGCTGAATGAGCTGATCATCAGAACCGGGGAAGCAAGGAGGTCCCACAGCCTGCTCTACCAAACTCGGCCAACCACATATGCGTCATGGGTCGAGTCGGACCCGCTCCAGCGACTCTCGGCCGTATCGTCCGGATGAACGAGCTCTATATGTTTCTCGAGTTAGCGGACATCCAGAAATTCCTCTTGCTCGCATACGACGTCGTTCTGCCAGAAGGTCTCCTCCTCCCCATACATCACGATAACATCCGGCACTTGACGACTCTCGCTCGGCCAAGGACCAACAAGGCGTACAAGGCCAAGCAGGTGGTATGGGACGCTGGAGGGGATGTCTCGTGGCACGATATGACTGTGCTGCTCCAGGACCATGAGTGAGTGAAGCATTGACGATCCTGTAGACGACGTGAAAAGTGCCGCAAAGCTGATTCTGTCAGAGACTTTGCCGATCTCGTCATGCACTTCTGGTGGGGTTTTCCTCAGCCCGGCAAAAATGAGCTGTCTCTACCCACCGCGACGCTCCCCGATCCCCCTCAGCGCATCAAGACTGGGCACCGAAAGCGGCCTAAGCGAGGCAAGGCGGCTGTTGCGGCGAGAGAGAAGGCGAGGGCGGAGGCAGAACGAGAGCAGGCGGCGGCGGCGGCGGCGAGGGCTGGCGGCTCAGGGGCCACAGCGATCGGGGAGGGAGATGAAGAAGGGATGCTGGGAGGAGAGCCGGATGCGGAGGGAGAGCCAGTGAGCCTGTATGACGAGTGGCTGCTTGACAAAGGGGCAGGAGGATGGGGATATGGCTTTCCTCTGCTGGCTGGCTAGTCTGTGTCCCTAGTCTTGTATGATCATCCATGTAGCCTGTATCGCTGATACCGCAGAACCACGATACTCTGCTGAAGACCTACTGACTTGTCATGGACTCATGGTGAGCAACTGATCGTCGAGGAATGTGGTGCAAGACTGCAGGATGACGCGGATGACGACATGTCGATCAGCCCGCTTCCTTTCATGCCTCTTCGCATCTCTCTCCTCTCAATGACCCTTTCTACCCCTACAAGACCATATGACTCACAATCAACCACAGGCTGATGGAAGATCCAGTGACAATATCATCAAGCAGGCGCGCCTCAACATGGGCCACTCCCGCTTCTCCCACTCGTCCCGGACCACCCGTAACTTTTCGTCCAGTCCAGCCATCGGCGGTAACGGCTGTACCGGTCATACCGGTGGTTCCAGTCGCACCCGCTCCGCCGGTATTGACTGTCGAGGATACGAAAGAGGAGAAGGGGAGGAAAGATGAGATCCAGAAAGAGCAAAGAAGGGTGGACAGGGCAATCGAAGCAGAGCGGAGAAGGCGGGAGAGGAGGATCCCCGAGATGGACGATGATGATCTCGAGGCGCTCATGAGGTCTGCCCAAAAGGTATGCCTTCTTCCTGCATCACCTTGATAGATCAGAGACCTAGACTGACCTTGCAGCTCGTCCGATCAGTACATATCGCCCCTCCCGCGTACCCCGACAAGCCAGAGGACGAGCTCGATCTCAACCCAGCCGAACTGGAAGAGTTCTCACTGGACAAGCTGAGAAGCCACCTCGAGCGCTTCTACTCCAGTGTAGTGTTCTCGTGTATGACGGTCATTAAGGAAGTGATCAGGATCAGGGGCTGGGAGGACGGGGGAGAGCGGACCGGTGTTGCTCTCGCGGTGAGTCCAGCTGCGGATTTCATTTTGAGCAGTGAGTATCCCAGCTGATATCAGGTGTACATCATCGCTTGGTACTTTGGCCTCATCATCACCACCTTCTTCCTCTTCCTCACCATACTCGTGCTCGTCCCTCCATCCCGTGCCTACTGCTTCGGCCCGCGCCGACACTACGTCTCGGTCCCTCTCGATCCCTCGGATCCTAGTACACTCACCACCCTGCCCATCCTCGAAGGTTCCGAGGAGCCATGGGGTCCCGCGGCGTCCGAGCGACAAGCTACCGCATGGGCCGACAAGATGGAGAGTGTGATCTTTTCCCTCTTCTCGCCCGGTGGAGCAAAGAGCGACAAGGGCAAGGAAGTGATCGAGCATGCAGAGGAGGAGATCAATGGGGTGATGGTCAAGGATATGAAGCACAAGGCGAAGAACGAATACGGGGCGGATGATATGGGAAAGAGAGAGATGGCCAAGGTGGTATATGGGAAGCCGGGCATGCAGATCTTGGGCGGGCTGGTGGACAAGTGGGAGCGGATTGCAAAGTGAGCAGCCCATAGGGTCCAAGGCCAGGAAGCTGACATCTCAGCGCCATCAAACCGACTCCACCGTTCGTCAAGCCATCTCGAGACCGTGTCTTCTATACCCTCCTACTGCCTCTCATCAGTACGTCCATCTTTCTCATGTCTTGATGTCCGGGCTGATAGACCAGTTGCTTCGCTCGTCATCACGCCCACGATGGTCTCTCGCGCTTGCGGAGCTGGCTTTGGCTTTGTCCTATTCGGCAAGCCCGTCATTGACTGGACGATCGACGAGCTGGATCGACGGGTGCCCACATGGAGGCGCAAGCTCATCTTGGAATTGTAGGTCGTCACCCTCCTCGTGGAGTGGAGAATCAGCTGATTATCAGCAACATCCTCGCCGACGTACCCACCAATCCTCAGCTCATACTCCGTCTCATGCGGGATGCAGAGCATCAACGTCGCCCCCTACCTCACCCCGAGACAGAGCAGGAGATCGAGGAGGAAGATGCAGATGCCGAGGAGAACGAGGATAGCTCGGACGATGGGCTTGGGGATGAGACAAGCGACAGAGAGGACGATGGAGCATATGAGGATGAAGGGAAGAAGGCTAAGAAGAAAGTGGGGACGGTGGGCAAGAAGATGAAGGATGGGACGAGAGCAAAGGTTCGGAAGACGTGGGATAAGCTGGGGATGTTCAAGGAGGAGGTGAGTCGCGAATTATAGGTCGAGACCTGAGCTGAACTGCCCAGTCTTTTGCCTTGGTCACGGGACACAAGAAGGTCAATTTTGAGGAGAAGGCCAAGGTGAGCTTCATATCCATGGTCTATATGTCATATGCTGATATTGTAGAACGTGATGGACAAGCTCAACATCTCGCACGATTCGAAGCCTGCTGCCAAATTGCTGGACAAGCTACCAGGGGTGTCAGAGGATGATTCACCAGATACACCGACTCGTGAGCTATCTTGCTAGTCTCAAGCTGATGGCGTAGGCTTCTATGTCAACCACGCTAAACACGGCCCCGGACACCTCATCATCTACCCTCCTACCCTACCCACCTCTCCATCCGAAAAGTTCACTCCCGCTCGAATCTCGCTCACCACTATCCGCCGCGTCCCTACCTCACAGTCGGTCTCTCTTCACCCTGACCAGCTCGATCCCACCTCAGATCACCTCAATCCGCACAGTAGCGCCCTGACAAACGGCGAAAAAGGCGACCTCGTCATCTCCATCAACGACATTATCGCGATGAAAAAGACGGGGCTCGGATATATTGCCAGTATGGGGGTGTCATGGGCGCTCGATACGGAGGATGCAGGCGGCACGGGACTGGACTTGACGATCATCCGAAGGGCAATCGAGGGTGAGAAGGAGGATGAGATGCGTGGGAAAGCCGAAAAGGTGGAGCTGAGGAAGATTGTGCGGAGGGACGAGCTGTTTGATCGCTTGTTGGCGCTTGGAGAGCAACGGTGGGAGTTGATGTAGGGAGATAGCTCTCATGCTGTGTATCGATAGTTCTAGGTTGTCTCGTATGTACACGCACACGGATAACGTATCAGCCGCTGAGCTCAGATCTGTACTGGTATTATGACAGGATCAATGGCCATACCACTCATCATGGGCACTGTAAAGTATAAACCACCGGAACGCCCTTGTAGAAACCACCTGGATGTTCAAAACCACCTGAAAGCTAGCGCAAACCCACCGGAGAGCTCAGAGGGCTGACGGCAGGTTTCAAATACCACCCGGATCCCAGTAGAGTTTCGGGTGGTTTTAATGACTTGTAAATTTCGCACAAGTCCCGTCGCGGCTGGGAGCTCAAACCTCAGGCATCGTATTCCATGCTTCAAGTCGCTTTAAACTCAATGAATACGTAGATACACGTCCAAGCCATCAGCCTGCCATCCCTCGCTGGTCGCCCATCTGGCTCACCCTGAACCCAGGCCGTGGGAGGCTCAAGGCTTATCTATGGGGCAGCTATATCGCCCATCAATGTATAGATATAGTGGCCATTACCTCTTCACCGCACCTCGCATTCTTGCCGCTCTTGCGATGAAAGTTGATTCTGGACGTGTAAGCCGTTTCTCCCTTGTGTAGATCAACCGAGCTGATCATTAGACGTATCCTCGCCGACATAATCCCAGTCCCGCCCACGTCCTCCCCACGACCCCGAGCGAGATGTCGAGCCGATGAGCTGTAGATAGCAGAGACGGATCATATCTGGGACGCAGGGGTCACGGAGGGCAGAGCGGATACGGTGATTTGGGGAAGGAGGGAGAAGATGGCCAGGAATCCGTTGACAGCGGGGAAGCGGGGGAGAAGGTGGACAGACGGAATCACGGCGAGGGGGCGAGATGCAAGGGAGAAGCGCGGACGTCTGAGGAGCAGGTGAGTTGTACCCAATCTTCAGGTCCAGGCCACTCAGCTTATTGTATAGCGTATCTTGATAGACCAGTACAGGGCCCTCAGCTACGTTGCAGAAAGCACGGTAAGCCCTGGAAGCCAGAGACTCGTTGCTGTAGACTGGGCTGATATTGCAGAATACATCCAGCAAGCTCAAGATCTACCTCAACTTAGAGTCATCCGCCCAGCTACTACTGCTCAGGCTTTTCCGGATCACCCACAGATCTGCCAGACACTCCTACTCGTAAGTCTCTGCCCAGACCCTCGCTTCATACGTGTCAGATCAATTACTCTGAGCGGGAAAGCTGAAGAACAGGCTTCTCCCCATTTGTCGCCTGGTATCATGCGCTCATCCTCACCATATCATCCCTCTTCATTGGCTTACCCCGTATTGACCCTCTCAACTCGGTCGTACTGCTTCGACTCCAGCTGTCACTCCTTCTGCGCCATCTCGATCCCTTCGAAACCCACCGCAATCACTACTCGTACGATCCTCGAAAATCGGGCGCGGACGATATGGGCGAGAAGGACATGGCATGGCAGGCGGGGAATGAAGGTTACGGGGATTGGCAGGCAAGTGGGAGCGAACCGCAAAGTGAGTGGAGGCGATATGGGTACTGTTGGGCATGAAGAAGGATAGTGAAAGAGGGGAGATAGGAATCGGGTGGGGATAGTGAGGAGGACAAGAAGAGGACGGGGGCAGGGGCTGCTGGCGAGCGAGCGAGTATCAAAGTTTGGGCGGGGAGATGGGGCCGGGACGCGCAGGAGCGGATCGAGGGTGATGGGCTGTGAGCGCAGGGCAATGGTGGAGAGATTGCTGGGGTTCACGAGCGGAGTTGGAGTCGAAATGTGCCCATACGGAACAGCAACCCCGGCTAGTGGTCCACCTCCTTTCTGGCAGGAATGATCTCGTTCCTCTCTCGCTCCCCTTGACTTCCAACTACATGAATTTACTCGCACTTAGCTCTTCTACTACCTCTTCCCTGACTTCCCAGTCTGGCCTCCACCTTCCGCACCGCCCCTTCTCGTCAGATCAAAGCTGATCCATCCAGAATCTCACAAATCGCCTATACCACCCCCATCCGCTTGCTACCCGACGACCGGATCCCTCGCTGTCATCTGAGGTATCGTCCTCTGTACTCTCGCCGGTGCCGTCCCCTTCGGAATCGTCATTAGGCGCTGGGGCATGATGATCTTGGCGGGTGGGTTTGAGATCGGTGTGCAATCGTTATCCCCGATTCTCAAGTCTACGGGAGGGGACATGTTGAGGGGAGATATGAGAGGGCTCGATGTATCGGATGGCCTGGAAGGGCTATGGGCATAGGGAGGATAATAGGCTGGCTGAAGAAGGGCAGAGGGGACGGCGGGATGCGGGGTGCGTGGTGCGGAGGTGAGAAGAAGGTTTGCGGGTATGCAGATGATGGTGGCGATGGGCGCTAAACACGTCTTGGTCTGTACTTGTCGCATGTAATCCTCGGCCACCCCAGCCCGCCCTGCCTCATCCGGCCTTCACCATATGACTTCTCGCACATAGGGCCATGCGAGGAATGTGTAGCAAAATCCAGGTCCAGCCCGCAGCGGTCCAGAACTTTGATCACCGCAGTCGATCCTTTGTTTCTCATCCATCCATGACTCAGATCCAATGTCTGACCTCTATATAGCTAACAATCAACTCCATGCTCTGCCTCTTATCAACGCGCGATGGCCAGACCATCCACACCGCCGCTTCTTGCGGCTCCAACGGCATGGGTCACTCCGGCATCCCCTACACGTCCAGGTCCACCCGTCAAATTCGCTCAGGCTCAGCCGGCCGTGATCGTCCGACCAGCGGTCGTCGTCGAGCTGACTGCGGTCATGGACGCGCCGACGTATACCCAGCCAGTCCCCCTCTCCGGGCAGGATCTCAAGGAGCAGACGGAAAGGGAAGAGGAGGAGCGCAAGGAGCAGAGACGGATAGAACAAGCTATCGAAGCCGAGAAGCGGCGGCGAGAGCGGAGGGTCCCGCCCATGGATGATGATGATCTCGATGCTCTGATACGTTCGACTCAAAAGGTATGTCTACAGAGTCAATACGCGGAGTGATGCTCATGGTATAGCTCGTCAAGTCGGTACACATTGCACCACCCGGACGTGGGCGTCCCGAGGATGAGCTCGATCTCAACCCCGCGGAGGATGAGCCATTCGCGCTCGATAAGCTACGAAGTCATCTCGAGAGGCTCTATGCGAGTGTGGTGTTCTCACTGTTGACGGTGGTCAAGGAGGTGATCAGGATAAGGGGGTGGGAAGATGGGGGAAAGCGGACAGCGACTGCCTTGGGGGTGAGCCGATCCGTCATTCTGGTGGACACCAGCTGATCCTAAGGTTTACATTGTCGCCTGGTACCATGGACTCATCTTCACCACACTATCCCTGTTCATCACCACCCTCGTCCTCGTCCCCTCGTCTCGGTCGTACTGCTTTGGTCCCAGCCGTCACTGCGTCTCTGTACCGCTCGACCCGCCCGACCCTACCTCGATCACCACACTTACTGTCCTCGAAGGACCCGAGCGCCCATGGGGACCTGCAGCGTCCGAGAGGCAGGCATCAGCCTGGGCGGATCAGATGGAGAGCGTTCTGATGTCGCTCGTTGCGCCTGGCGGGGCGTCAAGCGGGAAGAGCAAGGAAGTGATGGAGAAGGCGGAAGAGGAGGTGAACGGGGTGATGGTCAAGGAGTATAAACATCACACGAAGGATGAGCATGGGGCGGATGATATGGGCAGGACGGAGATGGCGAAAGAGATGTATGGCAAGCCGGGGATGAAGATTATGGGCGGACTGGTGGACAAGTGGGAGCGGATCGCAAAGTGAGTAGAGGTGTACTGGCTGTAGAATTGGTCGTGTAGCGCCATCAACCCATGCCCGCCTTTTGTCAAGCCTTCCCGAGATCGCGTCTTTTACATTCTCCTTCTCCCCATGATCAGTAAGCTCACACTGTGACCAAGCTAATACCCTAGTTGCGTTACTCGTCATTACGCCCAAGATGGTTTCTCGGGGGTGCGGCGCTGGCTTTGGCTTTCTCATGTTTGGCAAGCCCGTCATTGACTGGACCATTGACGAGCTGGATCGAAGGATTCCCACTTGGCGTCGCAAGCTGATCATTGAGTTGTAAGTCTTTTGTCCTGCAGTGGTCCCAGCTGATCAGCAGCAACATCCTCGCAGACGTACCTACCAATCCTCAGCTCGTCCTCCGACACATGCGTGATGCCGAACATCAACGGCGTCCTCTCGCTCACCCGGAGCCGGAACGGAATCTCGAGGACAGCGAGGGGGAAAGTGAGGAGGACGAGGATGGGGGCGAGGAGGATGGGGGGAGTGATGAGAGAGAGGGGGGCGAGAAGAAGACGAACAAGGAGAAGATAGGTAAGCTGGGGCAAAAGGTGAAAAAGGGTACTAGGGCAAAGGTGCGGAGGACGTGGGACAAGCTCGGGATCTTGAAGGAGGAGGTAAGTACTGCTGTGCTATTGGCTGGACTGGAGCTGATCTTCCAGAGCTTTGCTTTGATGACTGGGCACAAAAAGGTCAATTACGAGGAGAAGGCCAGGGTGAGTTATTCTTTCAGGTAATTTGGACCGCACTAAAGTACAGAACGCCATGGACAGGCTCCACATCTCGTCAGACTCGAAGCCCGCTTCCAAGTTGCTTGATAAGCTTCCAGGAGTGTCCGAGGATGACTCGCCCGATACACCATCCCGTGGGTCCCAGACATACCTCTCCATATCCACGCTGATCATCAGGCTTCAACGTCAACCACGTCGGGCACGGACCCGGACATATCATCATCTACCCTCCTACCCTTCACACATCGCCAGGCGGCAAATTCACCCCCGCGCGCATCTGCCTCACTGCCATCCGCCGCGTCCCCACCTCCCAATCCGTCTCGCTCCATCCAGACCAGCTCGACCCGACCTCGGACCACCTCAACCCGCGGAGCAGCACCCTGTCACACGGCGAGAAGACCGACCTGGTCATCTCCATCAATGATATCATCGCCATGAAGAAGACGGGACTTGGGCACATTGCGAAAATGACGGTTTCGTGGGCGCTGAACGTGGAGGATGTGGGTGGGACGGGACTGGACTTGACGATCATCAGGAGGGTACCGGTGGAGGGTGGAAGAGGGGAGGGGATGATGGGTGTCGAGGAGAGGATTGAGTTGAAGAAGATTGTGAGGAGGGATCAGCTGTTTGATCGATTGATTGCGCTGGGCGAGCAGCGCTGGGAGCTCATGTAATTGGGTAGGCACAACATTTGAGGATCGATGGATCCAGCGTCGGCGTCGTGCTACGATGCAACAGGCCTCTGATGTTCCGTGCTCGAGCACAAGCTTGAGCACGTTTATAAGGGATGGCAACAAGGCAGACCGGGTCTGAAGACAGTGTCTAAAAATGTCGGGCCCGTCAGGGATCATCGATGAGATCCTCGGGAGGTCGGGCTTCGTGCCTGGACCGGCCCGGTTACGGCTGCCGAGATTTGCCTCTGGATGCGGTTGACTGGCCGGGGATCATTGGTGGATCTTGTCATGGGCAAGATCTGCTTCACAAAATCTGATCGTGCACATGGATTTCGTCCAGGCTCGTCCCTAAAGACGAGATCAACAGACGGGTCGAAAATTCCTGCGCTGCGACATGGACGCCCTCCAAGCACGTTCGCTATCGCTCCTCAAAGAAACAAACGTTTGCAGTCCCAACTCACGGCTCCCTACTCACGCCGCACGATGTATAAGTGCAACTCGCTTGGCGGATTCCCAGGGCCCATCTCACACCTTCCTCCTCACCCAACATTCACGCTGACCACTTACCATGTCTGTGAATATGAACATTTTCGGCACGCACTATGCGCCAGGTACGTCCAGTTGTCCGCCTGACAGACTGCGCTGACCTGTCAGCCGCCTCCAACATCAATAACCTTGCCGCTGTGATCAACGGTACCGGTGCGCCAGGCATCTACAACTCGTCTCACGTCTCTGACGCCAATTATGGGGTATACAATTGGTGCAATGTACTTCCCTCTCCTTCTGGTCGTTATAAAATGCTGAGTCGTAGATGCCACACGTTCGGGCGCAAGAGTATCAAGTACCGAGCTCCGACTATGCGTCCGTTAATTCTTTTGTTGCGCTGCAGCTAGGGCTGACACTACTTCAGACTCTCCTACGTAGAGGTTATACACCGGCATCACAAGCGTACGCCGTACGCCTCCAATACGTTCTTCAAGCAGGACCAGACGTGGGACTGTAGCCTCAACGGGCCATATCACTGTACGTATCCTCTCACCCTTAGTTCATGGCTTGATCTGATATCGCAGACGGTAGGAATGCCACCGGGATCGCATCGGACGTCGTCCCTATATCCTGGCAGGGGTTCAAGGACTACACCAATCCCTTCACCACCACTGTCGGTCCCGGTTTCCCCGGCTCGAGCTGCCAATTCCCCCAAATAACCGAGGGCGGGCTGGAGGATTCGCATACACACGGCAAAGATCTCGCTGCAGTCTACCGCGACAAGCTGGGCTTCTTGCCCAAGGATCTCGACCACAATAAGATCTCCTTCCGCGTGACCAACAATGTCATCACGTCTCAGGTGCTCGGTGGGCTGGCCAAGGGTATGTTTGAGAATGTTGCGGACCTTGCAGCGTATATCCAGGTAAGCTCATGGCCAAGCTTGGGTCCTCTTCCGTTGCGCGAGCTAAATCACTTTAGAGCAGCGACTATGACTCGCTCGAACCTACTCTCTCCTGCCCCCTCGCCAATTCCCTCCGGGCCAACTACACCGGTTCCAACCCTGCATGGGCGGCTCACCTGAATGCCTCGGCGGCCCTGTACTCGCGTCTCGACAACGTCTCCGGCATCGCGCGACCAGATACCGGCGGCTGGCATACCTCTCTCGACCACTACTACGACAATTTGAGCGCACATCAATGCCACGGCAAGTCCCTGCCCTGCAGCGTCAACGCGACGTCCCAGTGTATCACCCAAGAAGACGCGAATACGGTGTATCGACTCGGGAATTACGAGTACGACTACTACTTCCGGTCGGCCGCCAACAGCACGGCGTATTCTGCGCTGCGGTACGGTGCATTCTTCCTCGAACTACAGGAACACATGCGGGCCAACATGGACGGATCGAGCACCACCAAGTACTGGCATAATGTCGCGCATGATGGCTCGATTTCGCCGCTTCTGGGGTTGTTACAGATCGAGTGAGTGGCTAGTGACCCGTGCTGGCGAGGGCAGTAGCTGACGGTAGAACAATGGTCTGGCCAGGTATGGGCTCGGAGGTCGTCTTTGAACTCTGGAAGAAAGTCAGTGGCGACTACTACATCCGTGTGTTGTGGAAGGGTCAACCCATGAAGACATCCACCCCGCTCGGTACGCTCAACATGGTCCCCGTGCAAAAGTTCTTCGATGTGAGTGTGCTCGATCTATGGGAATCATGGCTTGAGCTGATATCGATCAGTATCTCGGTCAGATGATCCCTTCCGACTTGGTCAAGATCTGTAGCCAGTCAGCCTAGGCGTGATGGGTTCCCAGGCTAGCGGAGCGGGACTGAGGGAAGATGGACTATTTCCGTAGCTTTCTTGGATGAATCTATAATGGCCTCTTACCATGGCTCTATGCGCATGTACGCTCCGTAATAGCTCTGAGGGATTACTGCTTTTCCGCTCATGAGGATGGTAGTTCGGCGTTTCTGCGGCTCAGCATCAGAAACAAGGCTTGAACTTGCTTCCACTTTTCTGTCAAGATCCACCTGCTCTGGGCTTTAGCATGTCCGTGCTCGACGTGGACGACCGGTGCTGGACCGACTGGACAGCTCGCATGTCTTGCTGTGCGTGTGCCATTCTGTATGATAGATAGAGCAGTACAGTGCGAGATGTGCCAGTATCGTAGATGTTGACGAGGCTGACGAGGAAGCTGCGATCTGAAACACGTTACGTCATTGGCATTCCTGCGGCTGCGGCTCATGATACCATGCATGCTATCTACAGTGTCCATTCTCTATCTACAGTGTCCGACATCTATCTATAGTGTCCAATTGTCCATCGAAATCGAAGTGCCGTTCCGTTAAAGCAACACCCACATCCCAAGCGCCGGGATGACCATTCCCCATCCTACTACCGCCCACCTCTGCTCCGCCCCTGACACCTTGCTTGCTGATGGCGAGGCGACCGCGGCGTTGTTGGTAGCTGCTGCCGAGGTAGAAGAGGTGATGCTCGCCGAGACCGATGTGGAGGATGAGGAAGCGGAGGTAGAGTTGGCTCTCGAGGTAGATGCCGCCGAGGTAGAGTTTGCCGATGCTGACGCCGAAGCCGAAGACGAAGCCGCCGCAATAGAAGCCCCACCCGCACCGACCGACATGGGCGTGACTGTCCCATTCCCGGTCGCCGCATTCTGGTACCACGGCTTCCCCCACATGTCCGCCACATTCCCAACCTTCCATCCCATCTGCTGCGCGAGCGGGTAGATGGTCTTGAAGACCTCGATCTGGCTGGGCCGGACCTCGTGCTCGAGCACATTGAGGCCTTGGGACTTGTCACCGAGCCATTGGGTGTATTGGGCGATGATGGAGGGGATGGTGTAGCTGTTGCCTTGGTCGAGGTTCCAGTCCCCGGTGTCGTGGTTCCAGATGACGGTCTCGAGGCCGAAGACGCCTTTGGCGATGGCGCGGACACGGTTGTCGACGTCGCCGAAGGGTGGGCGCCAGAAACGAGGGACACGGCCGCCGTTGAGGTCCGAGATGATCTGCATGGTCCAGCCGAGCTCGGCGACGACTTGGTTGTTGGTGAGGGTGGTCACTGGGAGTTAGCGATAGCTGGGAGAAAGGAACAGATGTGGCAAATATAGGGTTAGCAGAAAGACCGAGGAGCAGTCGGTGATTGTGCAAGAAGGAGGATAGGGGATAGATGGTAGCAAGATTGGAGAGCAGATAGCAGTGGTGGGACGAGGATACGCGAGATAGGACAGGTAAGGATGAAGATAGATCAAGGATAATAGCCGCGAACCCATCAACTCACTGTAGTTGTGGGACCAGGTGTGGACACCGATATGAGCACCAGCACTAGCGACCGACTTGAACTTTTCCATACTGCCAGTCAGTCTACGTCCCTTCCCAATCTCTTTCCCCCGCTACCCTCTACACTCGACTCACTCGTTCGCAATATAACTTCCAATCATAAAGTGCGTCGCCTTGCCCATCGTCCCCATCCCGGCCATATAATTCCTCAACGAGTCCGACCCGCCCGACACACCATCATCAAACGTAAAGCTGATACTCCCCGCTGTCGGCGCGTAGAGATCTTCGGGGTTCCGGCATTCGTACGTGAAGGAGCAGATGGCTGGGTCTGATTTTGACCGAGAGCCATAGGCGGGGAGAGGGGTACCGGTAGATACGGGGACGTCGGAGGGGAGGTGGATGGAGGCGAGCTTGTCGAGCCAGGCTTTGGGGATGGACGAGTCGGGAGGGATCTGGTTGGTTGCGGGGTAGGCTGGGGGTCAGCGCAGCTCGCGAGTAGGGCGAAGCCAGAGACGGAGGGGATGGAGATCATGAGCCGACAAGAGAAGAGTGGACCACTCTTGTGTCCTATCCCTTATCGCCGACGCCTGCGCTTGGACCGCAGGTCCGTCTCCCTCTCCTCACCCCAATTCATCCTGAGAGATGGATGAACTCACCACTCTGCCTCTTGAAGAGCTCGACTACCTCTTCAGGCTCGGCCCGCTTGACCTTGGCCAAGGGGTTGACGATGCCATGCGCCGGGACGGCCCATACTGGCGCCGCGAGGAGGGGGAGGGTGAACAAGAATGTCGAGGCGAGCATTTCGACGGAGGATTTGGGAGAGGGGAAGAGGAGGGTGAGGGAGGGGTCGATATTATATAGAGAGAAGATAGGAAGCAGAAGCAGGCATAGCCCTACACACCTATACCCATACGATACAGACAGGTCAGCAAAGGCAGATAAAGCGGGAAGCGAAGATCTCGAGCCAAAAAGCTGTGTTTACATGCCGTAAATCAGTGACGTTGACCCGGCCCGCCCGCCCGGATCCAGACCTAAAAGTCTCGTCCGACAGTCAAAGATGCTTGTATCAGCAGCAGTTTCACAGGGTTTCACACAGAGCGTATGCAGGTAGCGCAGGTGCGACGCTAGGGCAGGCTGCATATAGCTGAGAGTCAGAAATTCAGCGTGGGTCTCGGTGTGAATGGGCGGAGGAGGGAGGATAGGAAGGAGAGGGAGCGGTGGATAGATCTGGGAAGAGGTGTAGCAGTGTGGCAGGGTACTTGCACATCTGTCTCCGGCGCGTCTCGGGCTACCAGGTCATACAGCAGTACAGCGCAATCAAGTGGCCGCTGAGTCAAGAACAGAGGCTACTGTGACAGGGAGGGCGGTGCAAGGGATAATATGCATCGGTAATATTGACGGTGTGAACAGGACACTTGGGTTGACCATAGCCGCTCATACCCATAGCTGTGCGCGCTCGGGAAGCAGGGTGGCAAACGCCAAGAGACGCAGTGAAGACTATCAAGACGACGAATAGCACGTGCATATGGAGGATCCAAGGTGAAATGCGCTGCCAGATCTGCCAGTGGGAGCAGAGGGAAGGGGTATCTAGGGGAACGAGCCAGCCAGGTCCGTCAACACTGTAGCTAGAGACATCTGTCATCGACGGTCGGCTCCCTTTCATCCAAGATCATACCAGCTCCTCTGATCTCTGGTGCACCCCATCATTAACATCATCCGCCCTGCAACGTTTGCAACCACGCTATGGCTGCCTGGCTGCATCGGCTCTGTCAGGCCTGTCGCTTAGTCAAAGCACGTGAGGCATGGGCTCTCACCTGTGACCATCCCAGGACAGGGGTCTGGCATGTAAGGAAGACTGCACCAAAAAGGATTTCCGCATCTCTTGCGGTCAGCGACTGGATCGTGGGGTCCAAACAGTCATTCACCACCCGCTCATCATCCTCACTTCGACCCTTATCCCTCACATCCGATCATCTATCACGGCAAAGCTGATAGCCCCCGCTCAGTCTAGTCGACCGTCACTTTACCCCATCACATTTACGAACCGAATCAAGTCAGACGCAGCAGATATGAACCCTTGTAAGTCCCCCTCAACTGCGGCTTTGCGATCGCCCTCGCCCTCAGCCCGAGCGATTAGCTGCTAATCGCATAGCCGAGCACCTTCACGTTCTCAAGACAGCGATCACTGCCGCATCTACAGCCGAGCAGCAGGGTACCGATGCCGGAACAGTCTACCGTGCCGCCCTCGAGGCCTTTGCGACGTATGTGTCTCAGATTGCGGAGGACGACGCCAAGGTGGCGCAGAGCATAGAGTCTGCGGAAGAACACAATCAGGAACTCGAAAGGTTGCTCGCCGAGAGTGAGACGGAGATCCAGGGGTTGCGCAAGCGGGTGGACGAGCTGGAGGGGGAGAGGACAGTATGTGAATCTCAAAGGGCGAGTACAAGGGCGAGCACGTGGCCTGGTGGGACGTTTCTGCAGTGGCTGTTGAGACCGCGGGTCGAAAGCACGCACAGCCGGACTGAGATGGATGAGCGATAACTCGAGGCGGGTGGTGTCGTGAGGTTTTCGCTCGGCGGGACATGGGGTGAGGAGATGTACATAGACGTATCAGCTGTAATGTTCACGCGTGCACCTCATACGCCTCATGCCTGGGCCTCGCGAAATCGCGACCAAGTGTGACCAGTCAGTACCGTGAGTGGTGCATCTGATCACAAGGAGCATGCTCTTGTCGACCTACCTAGGAGTATGAGCTCGCACGTGCTCGAACATCGTAGAGCCTCCCCAGGAGACCCCAGCGCATCTGCTTGCGCCCCGCCGCGCCTTTACCTTCCGTCTTCTACACAGCGTCAGTGACCACTATCTCTCTGCTATGACCTTGATGTCAGATCGCCGAGCGGTGAGACATGAGGCGTTTTCTATCTTTAAGCGGTAACCAAGGGCTAGACGTTGCCCCGTATATTACATTGGTCAGAGTAGAAGCGATAAGTTCTGGTGCATTCCAAGAGGTGACGTGCCAGAACGGTCAGGAGCAAGAGGTGAAAGGAGACCCGGCTGTGAATGGATCAGTATATCCTGACTGCTACCCTCGATCAGGGTCGTATCGTCCACCTCCTTCTGCTTTGCCTCTTTCATCCGCACCGATACAGAAACCGCATTCCCAGTCGACACATCACAGCCGACGCTCTCCGACACATTCGACATGTCCGCACCTCACGTTGACAGCTCCGACATGTCCATCCATCCTGAGGCCGCCATCAGTGGCTACTATCCCCCATCGGACACCAAAGAGAGGACGGCTTGTGAGTAAGAGCTGAAGCATCCAACTTTCTCTTAGATATTCCTGCGGATATAGCTGACTTTACCAGCCATCCGTCTCGGGAGAAGCCAAAGCCTCGCGGATCGCATCCTCACGAACGCACGAAAGGCAGAGGATGATGACTCACTCACGCGCCTCCGGGGGTCAATTGTAACGCTGCTCTACGGCTTACAAAAGCAGAGAGACGATTTCAGCGTGAGGAATGCGGCGCTGGAGGACATCGCGGACAGATACCCTGAGGTCAAGGACGAGCACGCGACTCTGAGGCAGTTCGTGGAGAGCTTTTGCGGCTTCTCCGAAGGTGCTTGGAAAGAGGCGCAGAAGGCCAGTACTTTCACGTCCTCGCTGAAGCCCAGCTTGGATGTCTAGGCGGATTTGCTGTTCCAGCCACTTCTGTTCCGATGTATCAGTAGACCCCGCAGGGGACGAGCATCCGAGCTCTCCGCGGTCTGCAGCGCGATGATGATGCAGCACATCTGGCTGGGTCAGCGTGGTAAGAGATCTCAGAGTGGGTCAGTATGGGTCAGGATCAGGGGAAAAGTCCACAGCTGCTGACGCCTAGGAAGCGTCGCTGCTCGGCCTCGAAGAGCTTGAACTATGGCTAATGATACGCGATGAAGGTGGATCGATACTTGCCTGGTAGTCCAGTCATACTTACATGTGGTCAGAATGGCGAACGCGAGTTGAGCAGCTGGGGGTGTCTTCTCTTGATCTCGCTGAGTGGCTGGGGTATGATGGCCAGGACGTGTAGTTCCAGCAGATTCTACCGACTCGACGTGTCAAAGAGCTGTGAGGGGGCAGATGTCAATGGAAGTATAGACCTAGTAGTCACTGTCGGCCGTCATCGATCAGATTCGCATTGTACTGTCTCGCCACCTCGCCACTTTTGGGGTTTGTACCTCGTCCCATCCAGACACTCACCTGACTTCTGCCTTGATCTCCTGATCAACCGAACGTATATCAGTCTTCTTCCATCTCCAGCATCCCCACCATGCCGACCCGTCGGGAAATCGATGAAGCTGTGCTGAAAGACCCCGCAGATTTCGATCAGTGGACGCTCATGCGTGACCCACACTTGTTCTCTTCTCAGTCGGCGCGGAATATAGCTGAGTTCCTCAGACCGTCGCACCGGCACATGCAACAGCTTCGCGGACAGTGTCCTTTCTCAGGATCGATCGACTGAAGGCGGTTCCAAAGACGCACGAGCCCGCGCGCGCGACGTCCTCTGGTACTTGATGGAACAGAGGGATACTCTGCACGGGGTCAAAGAGAGTCTCACAGCTGAGAACGCGTCGCTGAAGGGGTTTGTGGAGAGGTTCTGCGATGCGACAGGCAACGCTGAGGAGGTGGCGAGAGTGGCGGAAGAGGCGAGGACTTACATATCCTCGCTCGAGTCCAGCGCCTAGCATCATTGTTGTTCCCGATTGGTACACCGATGTATCGTGACTGTCTGATCCGACGAGGAATGAGCAGCCAAATTATCGCTCGCTAGGCCTTGAAGAATTGATCTGGTGTCACTAGTGGGCAGCATGACTGCAATGGCAAGCGCATCTGGCTCAGTGAGTGTGGTCAGGAATCTCACACCATGTCAGTCTGGCTGGAGATTAGTAGCTCATCTTACCTACTTACACCGCTAACTATTATATAAGCTATCTTCCCTATCTTGTCTATGATATGTCCATCCCTAAGCCTTGATATCCTCCCCAGCCTTGACCTCCCCCTCCTCCACCACCGCAATCTTCTCCTCCTCCTTCTTTGCCCACCCCTTCATCCCGACCAAAATCTCCCCATCCAGCTCCTTGAGCTTCTCATCCAGCTTCTTCCTCTCCTCCGCCGCCGTCCGCTCCCTCCCCTCCGCCAGCGCCCTATCCTTGCTCAACTTCTCCAGACTGACGATCCACCGATTCATCCCATCCACCTTCTCCTTGACCTCCTTCTTGAGCTCATTCCTCTCCTTTTCCGTCTTGGCGAGCTTTTCCGTCAGATCCTTGATTTTTGGCTCGAGATCCCCCCGGATCTTCTTCTCCCTCGCCACCTCTGCCGCCTTGAGGTCTTTCCCACCCTTGACGCCATCCGCCTCCCTCCCGTCCTTCTCTTCTCTGAGCTGTATCTCTAGCGCCGCCTTGGCATCCTCCGCGACTTCGGCCCGCTCCCGCTCAGCCGCCAACTCGGCCTCCATGCTCGCTACCACCTGCTGCAGGTGCGCAAACTCGTCGTACGTCTCGAGCAGGCGTGTGACGCCAATGTTCTCTTTGGGCATCCGGCGGTCAGGACGGGGTATACCGGCCGAGCGAGAGGAGGGGTGGGGCGTGGTAAGGGCTTCCCGGGAGACGATAGAGTCAGCCCCGGCCGAGATGGACGGGGTACGGGTCGAGGAGCGTTTGCTCCGGAAGATGCTCATTCCGTAGGTGTAGAAGGGGTAGTTGGGTCGAGAGGGTCGCCAGAATGGCTGTGGGTGTGAGAGAGCGATAGCTGTTGTGTGTAGCGGTATGCTATGGTACAGTGTAGTATGTACAAGGGAGAGGAGAAATAGACCTGAGCAGCTGCAGCTTGATCTGACCGGGAACGGGAAGGGTAACGTAACGTAAACAGGGTATGACGTCAGGCCGGTTAGGGCAATTTGGCAGAGTAGGAGGTATGGCCTGCCTCTGCCTCTTGCGGTAGATAGAGTCGTCAGCACGTTAGGTCGGCGAGGGTATGTAGAGGATGCTAGGGATGCTGGCGAGGAGCTGGCAAATCGTAGTGATGGGACGGTATGGTGCCGTCAGGCGAGGATGATACGGTGAGCTGAGCGCCAGATCTCACGGGGCAGAAGGGCGGACAGAGTGGCTACCAGGGCGGGCAATACCTTGAAGCGATGAGCTGACAGAGCAGTACCGATAGAGCTGCATTAATGTATCGCTCTACGCTCTAAGGTGGCACGACCGCAGCCTAGAGGACCCAAAGAGCGGGTGGCAAATCAGGCATGAAGCCGCGTTCGCGCTGTCTTTTGGGATGGGTAGATCCTCTCGTCCAGCTGACCAGGTGGCACAAGATGGCGATATCCATGTCTAGCTCGTCACTCCACAGACTCAGCGAATAAGAGACAGCGCAATCAACATGCCAGGATCGACTGCCACACGTCTCGCTTGCCCCTCCCTCGCCACACCGCATTCCTCGGGATCATACCATGTCCAGTCCACAACCTCAGCAACAGGAAATGCTAACGGAGGCGCTACTGAATACGGAAGATATACCAGCTGATACAGACAACCAGAAGTGCTGCTCGGCGGGCGACGCATGCATGATATCCAGGTAGGCTTGGCGGAGGCGGACTAGACTAGGAACGGCGCTCGGACTCGGACTTCGGAGCTTCTTTTCGAAACTGTTTTCAACCTCCTTTGAGGGATCTCATGCACTGCTTGGTAAGTCATCTATAGCTCATTCACCTCTACCTCCCTATCTGCGACAGTGATGATACAGCAAGCTCAACTCCCAGGCATCCTCGCGGCTGCATCCCTCATCCTCCCCCTACTCCTCTCGTCCCCGCTCGAGCCGTTCACCCCGCGCGCGCTCATCCACTCGCACCGCCTCTATCCTCTCTTCCTCACCCCCTGGGCCACTCAATCCACTCTCTGCGCTCTGGTCGCGCGGCTGACCCAAGCCTCAACGTTACTCGTCATCCCACACTCCCGCGCGGCGCTCGGATGGGGATACGCCTACACCCTGCTTCTCAACCTACTTCGGACGACGGTCGGCTTCATATTCAGCCGGTCGGTAGGATGGGCGTACCCAGCCTTGTTCTCGCACTGGGCCCTTTATGAACCCTCTGTGGGGATAGGACCGCCGCTGCTGGCGTTGATGGCGGTGGAGATGACGGCGGTGCCAGCTTGGAGATATCGGTGGTTGGTCATACCGGCGTTGACGACGGGGTGGTGCGTCCTCGAGAGGGCGCCCTGGACGTATGGGCCGTCCACTCTGCTTAGTATGGCCCTCGCTTTGGGCTACCGCATCGCTCGTCCCGCTCGGAAAGGCTGTACCCTCGCACCCGGCTCGCCCAACTCGGGTATCGAGCCAGACGACGAGAAGACCACCTCACGCCCCCCATCGCATCTCGGTGGCCCCTCCCTGGCTTTTCTGGGTTTACTCATCTCCTACTTCATTCTCGACTACCGCTCGACCTTCCGCCTACCCTTCCCTTCCTCTCCGACACCCCTTTTAGACGTCATCGTCCTATCCTATCCCCGTCCTGTCGACATCGCCATCTCCACCCACATCCTCCGTACCACTATCGACTCGTACCTCCCGCACCTTCATGATATCACCCTATCCGCATTCACCCACCACTCCTTCCATCCCGCCTTCGATGAAATCCAGGCCGACTACCTCGCTGTCACATCTCACACCGATACCGACACCCATCCCGGCGAAAGGCCCGACCAATACCTGCACCTCGCCGAGGCGTTTCGATGGGCATACGAGCGCGAGGGACGGGCAGAGTGGGTCATGTTAGTGGAGGACGACTTTCCAGTCTGTCCAGGCGGGTGGGAAGTCGTGGGTACGGTGATGGCGATGTTGGAGAATCGGCGGACAGCAAGGGAAGGCGACATCGGCTCTGGTTTCGTAGGGACTGGCGGAAGGTGAGCCCTCAAATAGCTCGAACTGACTATAGCGGTCTCATCATCCACCACACCCTCCTCCCCCTCTTGTCCCGCCTCTTACGCCTCCACTCGACCGATATCGTCCCTGCCTCTTTCGTCAGACCTCCGCCCGACGTGCTCGTACAGGACTGCCTCCTCGGTCGCCCGGGCGTATGCGAGCGCGACCGAAAAGATAAGGGGAGGATGATCATCTCGTCGAGGTTGGTTCAGGACCACATTGGGGGGATGGCGACGACGACGGAGGGCAAGGCGTTGAATAGCGACAAGTGGCGGTGTGGGTGGAGGAGTGGGCTGCATGGGGAGGAAGGGGTGGACGTGGTCGTTGTCTGAGGGGGCAAAAATGGTCCCTTATATCATGCACTCGACTGATACTCTTGCTAACTGAAGTGACTGATTATAAAGTGCATGAGCGTGACTGTCTATCTATGGCTACACTGATCGTCCTGATTGTCCGTAATGTCCTGTCAAGTGTCCTTGGTATCCCCGCTCGCCATCCCCGACCCCGCTCATATAGCCGCACCGCAGATAATCGCCAGAGCCAGCGATAATCCCAATCTCGGCTCGACGCGCCACCCCGCTGATATGGGTTGGGCATTGTGGTTGCTCGTCCCCTCGCTCGGCGATGCTGGGGCAGCAGCTGATGATGAGGACAAAGCAGCCGAGCTAGTGCTCGACGCCGATACCGAGGACGATGTCGTACTCGCAGATGAAGTAGAGGACGATGCCGAGGTGGATGTCGAAGTGATCGAGCTCAAACTAGATGTAACGGTGTCCTCCTCCCCAGCCACATACTCTGCGAAAGACGGGTAGAAGATGTCCTCCTCGGCGTAGGGATGCGAGATGTTGTAGGCGGTAGCGATAGGGACAAGATGGGTGAATGCGGCTTTGAGGGAAGGGAGGAATTTGAGCGCTTCGTTGATTGTGGCGGCACCTGATCATCAGCTCATTCCTTCCTGCTTCCAGATAATACTCACTGAGCTCGTGCGAAAGAACAACCGGACCAAAATTGGCATACTGCCCACTCTTCTGCTTATCGATGAAGCCTTGGTAATTTGCATCGATCTTGGACTGGGGGGTTCCAGAGTCAAGCGACCAGTCGGACTGCTCGTCAGCTCTTGGTCTTCAAGAAGCGCAGGTAAGGAACTTACAGAGTCTTCGGACCATACCACAGTGGTCAAGTTGAGTCCGGCAGCGATCATCCGGACCCGATTGTCGATGTCACCATAAGGCGGGCGCCAGCACAAGGGCGTGACGCCGAGGACGTCCTTGATGATTCGCTGGGTATAGTAGAGCTCGGCGAAGACTTGTTCATTGGAGAGGGCGGTCATATAGCTGTACGTCAGCGAGACTCATAATGAGAGGGTCCTCGACGAGGAAGCGGAGGAAAAGATATCAAGCGTGATAGGTGGTATGCAAATACTTACTGATGTGACCAGGTGTGGACGCAAATCTCGTGCCCGCCTTCGTGACCGCTGATAGCTTGCAAAGGCCAGTTCAGTACGTTCCCACCGATATAGAACCTGCTTGTCAGCTTGTCCATCACTACCGATAGAGCCAGCTCACAGTGTCGCCCTCACGTCGTTCTGCTCCATCCAATCATACAGCGGTGCATTCCCGCAATTCGGCCCATCATCATACGTCAACCCATAGCTCCCCGGCTCCGGCACCGTCGTGATATCCCTCTGCAGCCCCGTCGCGTTCTTGGGAGTCGTACATTGGGTATAAGTCCACCAGCAGTCCGGGTCGGCACCGCCATCATACACAAGACCAGGATGTGAGCCGTCGGGGTTGCCTTTCGGGTAGGTGGTGGGTAGGGCGGAGCGGACGTGGGCGTCGATACTGGAGAAGAGGGTCCGGGCGGCGGTATCAGAGGGGAGGAGGGTGGCGATATTATAGGGATTGGGGTAGGAGGAGGTGAGGTTCTGGGTAGGAGGGTAGGTGTAGCCGTCGCAGGGGTCTGGGCGTCAGCTTGGTTATTCGCAGAGAGAGGAGCACTTACTGCTGTTTGCGCGCTTACGCCCGCCACGTGCTTCCTCCAACGTCACGACAGGCCCACCAGGGTTCCTCCGTACGACCTCATGTCCTGGTCCACCGCACCCCTTGTGAGCAGACACCAGCCCCGCCAGTCCGCCAAGAGTAAGAAGAGTCGCTGAGCGCATTATAAGTATAGAGTCCAGATTATAGAGTGAGGATGGCGCGGAATATGAGTTGTTGTGAGCAGCGCCGGGTCCCTCTTCTTATATCTTTTCTCATGCCCTATGCTATCGCCCGGAAGCACCGCCCGGCTCCGACCCCACGAGGTCCGAACCAACGCACATCCGCTTCCAACCGCCCGAAGCGGTGCCTCCCTTGCACTATGTACACCGCCGCCATACCGTCCCCGCTCTACTTGTACCGCAAGTAGGATCTACCCTGTAGAGTGTACTCTTTCGGTATAGATAAGGTGAAAATCAGATGGACAAGTGGTGACGCAAGCAAATGAGTGGACAGCTTTAAGCTATTTTCGGGTGAGGGTTGCCGGATGCGGTAAGGGCGGTGCGGCAGTTGCGGCAGGATCTCCGGGACAGTGCCCAAGCTTGCTCAAAGGGCCGCTCCGGTGCTTGGTGGTCGTACAGAGCAGCAGGACTGAGAAGGATTAGACCTGAGATGGTCATGCCGGCTGGGCGCGCTGCTTGCTGTAAGCCTGTGAGGACAGGAAGAAGAGTAGAAGAAGGTTTTCAAGAAAAAAGGGTCCGGTGGGATGCCGTCATCTGCGCCAACACCTCATTCCTCGATTCGCCACTGACTGCCACTGAGTGCTGAGCGTACTGCAAGTTGTCATTGAAGCCGCAAGTGGATACGCTCTTCATGAAGAATCTGTACTAAGAGACGTAGAGAGTCTGAGACGACCATTCAGATCTATTCAGATCCACTGAAAATATGTGAAGGAGGAAAGTAACGGACGACACGATCTCTCGCTCCTGAGCCCTTGCCCATGCATACGAAGCGGCGGGAAGGCTTTTCTCATGTACGTTGGATCCAGCCGGCGCCAGGCTGGGCAACGACCTGGCCAAGACCCTCATCGACATCAGGAATAGCATCCTCCTCCGCGGAACTCTGCGATTGCCCATACTTTCCCGCATGATTAATGTACTCCTCTTCTGTGACAACGGCCACCATCCCGTTCTCGACTTTCGCGTTAGCGGTCTGATTCAAGTAAAAGGCGCACAGTCCAGATACCACCGGACGCTTACCGATGAGGTACTTGACGACGCAGGAACTCGCGATACCTTCCGCAAAGTCTTCATCGTTGACTATGACTCGAAAGCGCTCATCTGCGGGATTCTCGCCCAAGGCGCGCCGTACCGAGTCGAGCCAATTAGCGGGGGTGCTGGAACGGATGCTGGGAGAGGGATTGGACATGGCTGCTTGGTACCGAAATGGAGAGATAAGATAGGTTTCTCCTCCCTTCCTCGCAGAGATACCGCCAACCGTCTCTGCCTGTGCGGGTTTCCCCGAGGTATTCAGAAGGGATGAGTACATGTCGCGTTTCGCCGCATTGTCATCCCTTATGTCTGCGGCGAAAGGAGTAGCTGCAGTACCCGTACGATAGCTCTGGTGCTTTCTATTATGACAGCAGATCAGACCACCTCGGACGCGCGGGTTCAGGTTGCGCTGATGACCGGATACACATACTCTAGTTGTGACGCCACACCCAGGTCCTGATTTAAATACGGTAAGAGGATAGCAGGATGCGGGTGGTATTCAAATCTTAGAAAGTTCTCGTATTATCAGTATGCGTTTCCTACCAGGAAGAGTACTCAGCAGCTCAAATCACGGAGAAACCGGTCTCGATGCAATGTAGACACCAGAGCAGCCCAAGAGGTCAGTCAATCAGTACGATCAGTCTAGTCAGCAAATACATATGCTCTATACCTAACAGACGACTGCCCAAATAGCCCAAGATCTAGTTTTTCTTCCCCGTCTCTCCGCAATTCCCCTCCGCCTTCGTTCCCTCTCGTACTCCACACAGCCTTCCCCCGCTCTGCCCTTCCCAGCAGCCAAGACTGTATGGCCACCTGGTACGCTCACGCTGTGGCAGATGCGGGCTGATACATGTGGGTGATCGCGGGGAAGGTGGCGCGTATATGACGTAGGAGGGGGAACATGAGGAGACGAAGATATAGGTCAGGCTGGGACGTCAGCGTGGTCTTACGAGGGGAGGTTTGGAGGTGGTGGACAAAGCTACGTATAAACTGAACTTGGGGTGAGGGGGAGACGAGAGGGGAGGAGGCAATACTCACAGATGGGATTGTACGTCGGCTGGTCAACTTGGAACTGCTGCTCAATCAGCTCTCGAGCACTGCTCCTCTATCTCCTGCTCCATGCTTCATTCTCTCCCTCCGCAGCCCATCCCATCTCGATCAGACACGGTCCGTACCCAACTCCCTCCCAGGCCCCGGTGGAGACACAGCTAAAGTCGGCGCAAGAGGCACGCACACCTGCAGACGCCTTCCGTAACGTCGTGTCCCAGTGCCAAAGCTGCCGTTCCCGCTTCCCTTCGACCAGCCGCCAGATGGTAGCAGGAGAACAGCGCGACTCACCGATCATAGCCCGAGCTGTACATCCCAACCCCATGCCTCGCATACGCCCTCGCTCGATACACTGACCAGACGAGATTGAAGATCGGACGCGGATAGAGGGGAGGGACGGAAGGGTGGTTCGCCGGCCGAGAGCGAGACAGTAGTCGGCTGTGCCCGCCGCAGATGGAGAGGTCTGGACATCAGCTAGAGCCAAGCACATTCGCGCAGGAAGGAAATTCACTTTGACTCGTCGCCTTCCAACCGTTTCCCTTGACTTCCCATCCCCGCATCCGCCCGCTTCGGTCCCATCTCCCACCCTCGGCGTATACCTCTCCACCGCGTCATTCTCGTCCGCCACCCCACCCTCCCGTCGCCCGCACTCCCCCTCCCATCTCTCTCGCCACTCTAGCCACTCCCCACCGCCCCTCTATGCCCCGCCCGCCAACCCAAAAGATGATCATACAACCAAAAATGTCCCAAACTCCACTCATCCCCCATCACGCCTTATACCTCGACCCCACCGCCCTGCCCGTCCTCTCTGATATATCGCTCAGATCCAACGTCATCTGCGTCCCCCTCGCCTCGGAAATATGATCGCTCATGTGCATGAGCCACAGCCCCGTATCTGGATCCTCGACGTGGTACGCCTCTCCCTCGCCTCCGCCGGGTACGTGAACCGCCGAGATGGTGATCATGTCGGGACGGATAAAGGTTTTGGATCGGTATGGGTATCCCGAGCACTGATCGAACCGATAGGCCGTTTCGGGGAGGAGGGCGATTTGACCAACAGGTTCCGGAACGGGGATGGTGACGGGCGGAGCGACGGCGATGTCTGCGTTGGGAATGGGCTCGACCTCGCCCGGTGGAAGGGGGTTGTGCGGGACGCTGGATGTGAAGCAGTTCCGCATGGACACTTGGCGGACGTCTGGACGAGCCGCCAGCACCGCATCAAGAACGCCGCCGTAGGTAAAGTCGGTGATATTCCGGTTCTGGTCGAGCGGGGTGAACATGGGAAACTCGTCGATATCGCAGAGAAGAGCCCAGTCGGCGTACTTGTCCAGCGAAGCGGTGACGTGGTTGAGCGCGAGCGGTTGCTGGTCGCCCCAGCTTGGCGCCCAGGTGTCAAAGAGGACGTGATACCAGGGGACGAGGACGACTTTGCCCGCGCGGATGTACGGCTCGAGGGCGGTACGGAGAGTATGGTCAGACCCGTCGCGTTGCTGATATCAGCTTGGACGAGTGCGGACTCACGTTGTCGTAGATGTAGATCTCTTCGGCCCCGCGCATGAGATTATACTCTATCCAAGCTGGCAGCCTGATATCCCACCTCCCCACCATCGTCATTGCGACGACGTGAGGCCCCTTGGCGCCCGCCTTGAGCTTGCGCGGACGGATGCTTTGAAGGGGTATCATGATGCTCTTGGCTCCAGAGTCGGGCTGTCTGATTTCTGCTATCAGCCACGTCGGACCCCAGACTCACGCAAGGTTGCAAACTCTCCCCTCGCCTCGCACTCCATAATCAACACGTGCTGATCCCGATCCATCTGGTTCCTCCTCACGACCGCCAATGACCACTCGGTATCCTTGTTTCCCCGACAGTATATCTCCGCGCCGAGGTGAAGAGGCCAGACGTTCCGCCCGTGCATGCGGAAGTGCGATACCAGGGCGAGCGTCTTGCCGTCTGCCGATGGGATGGGGAAAAAGTAAAAGTCATCCCGGAGCCCGTAAGGACCATAGGGCGAGTCGCTGTAGTGGAGGTACGGTATTGGGCGCGCGACCGTCGCTAGCTGAGTCAGGAGTGACTGATCCTGTCCGAAGAGATCCGACATGGACGCATGGTGGAACTCGAGGTAGGTGATACCGAGGAGGATGAGGATGCCGATGAGGATAGGGGAGCGGAGGAGTTGGCGCAAGTTCTGCAGTCAGCGGGTGAGCAACGGGTGGCTTACAATATTCCGCAGTGAGAGGAGCATCTTGGATGATCTCCGCGCTGTCCTCTGTTGGGTGCTAGTGAACAGGAAGAGATGGCGGGATAGATGTAGAAAAAGAGTCGCAAGCAGCAAGAGACGCGTTCCTCATTCGAGGATTTAAGGTTAAGTGAAAATTCATCCGGACAGTCCGGACACTGCAAAAATCGCTTCGGACCGTCGGACAAGGCATGCATCGCGCTCTGATGGAGACCGGCTATCCAGTATTTGGATAATTAGTGGCACGATACGGTAGCACGCAAAGAAAGTGCATAGGTATACTGGACCGTGTGATCACTACGGGGAAGATGTAGTGGACATGATCGCAGCCCGGAACGTCGAGCGCAAAGTCTCCGCGTCGGCCATGGAGGCTGCCCCGCTTGGATGGAACTTGAGGGTGTGCTCTCGCAGAGCCACCGCAGACGCTGTAGTCGCGGAAAGAACGGCAGCATCGCGATGCGCGGGTATTGCTACGTCTTGCTAGAAACATCAGCGGCATTTTCGACAACGAGAAAAGTGGCTCACCTTTACCGCATCGCACCACTCGGCAAACAGATTCCAGCGGCCCAGCAGCTCGCCGTACGTGTCAATGGCGAAGTTGAAGCACTCGAGATAGCTGCTTCCGACGAGGTCCATGCCGTGCTCACTAGTCATGTCAGTCTCCGTTTCCAGACACAAAGGCCGGGGCAAGGGAATCAACCTACAGCTGCCGAAGCATTGCTCGAAGCTGAATCGTCTTGATGACAGCCGTACTTCTGTTATGAGCCTTGCCTCGATTCTACGTGTTAGTTCCGAGCTTAAAGCCTTTTCAAAGCAATCAGACTCACAGCTAGCTCTTGATAGCTTTCCCAGCGACAGGCCATGCTGAGAGCTGGAAGACCTTTGGCGCTCTCCATCCGCTCCATGGTGATGATGATAAGAGCTATGTCGTCTGGAATCTCATCCCTGCAGTAGTCAGTAATTATGTACAGTATCTGCCTCAAGATTGACTGAACTCACGGGACGAACGCGCCACCATCATCATTCTTGGGTATGAGGAATTCCACCTTGAATTCGTGCATTTCATATTTCTGGGCTACCTGGCCATCTGCTGTATAGACATTGACGCCTGTGATGCTCGGAGGGGCCAGCGGCCCGTACATCGCTGAAGCCGCGAAGGTCGGCTTCGTCAGATCCGGCCTGTGGTTCTCGTCATAGGGACTGTGCTTGTCAGCCGATGTATCTCAATACTGGGGTGGGCCAGGCTTACGGTGGAACGTAGCCCTCCTTTGCGAGCCTCGTTGCCACAGTGGTGATCCAGCTCGGCCTCTCCTTCTTTTTGAACAGATCCTTCAAGATGTCTGGTCGCTCCGTGTTCAAGATCGGCGCGGCGGTCTTGTCGTCGCTCACGTCGGGCAGCTGGCACTTGGCAAATGTCGCCATTATGAGGGCGAGGTTGAGTGATGTATAAAGTAGAAGGGGAGATGGAAATTTCGCCTCACTACCGCCGAAATCTGAGTACTCAAGTGTGGCGCTAAAAGGGGGTGAGCGCACACAGGTGGCTGACGGGCGAAACTCAATGTCCCCTGCACCCGGAGCCAGATCAGCCCGCGTTTCAGCTTGTTTCAGAAGTCAGCTGTGGTCACTATACGCAAGCACGTCAACTTTGTTGCTGACCTATCCTCCGAGACTCAGTGAGCAGTCAGCCCGGTTCCGATAAGTATATGCATCACCCAACCAGAAGATACTCTTGCTCAGCCCTTCCCCTCGACCCACACCGCCCCAGCTACCTCCCTAATCCTCATCCTCCCCACCCCCCTTCCGTCTCTTACTTCCCCTTACCATCTCCCCCTTCCTCCTCCTTTCCTCCCTAGCCAGATCCCTCCCTCCCCCTCCGACAACTTTCCGCTTCACCGGCGCCTTGGCGAGGTGCCGCTTGAGGTTCTTGTTGGGCGCGGGGAGGTCGAGCATGTATTGCGGGACGGGGCAGCCGGAGGATACGAGGACGTTGGCGATTCTGGAGGGTCAGCTTGAGCGTGACGACGGAATGGAGGTGAGAGGGGGCATAATAGGTGAAGATGTGAATTTGATGAGAGTAGGTGTAAGTGTGATAGGACAAGAGACGAGAGACTTACGTCCGGAGATGCGGCGCATCTTCATTACTGAAGAACGTGATTGCCTTGCCTGCTCGTCCGGCTCGGCCTGTGCGACCTATCCGGTGGATGTAGCTCTGCACCGTCTGTGGAAAGTCTAGCGAATCAGCTTTGACCCCTCGACTTCTTCCCCAAGCAGGCGAGCGCCGTGATCCATGATCTTCCCTTTCCCGACCGATTCGCCCCCCACTCCGTCCTCAGGATATACAGCGGTACCCCTCCCGTCCCCCGCCACCCCTTCGAGTCCCTCACCTCCTCTCCTTTGCCCGACACTCCAAACCTTCGAGCTGGCTCACCATAATTTACAACCACCTTGACCCCCCCGAAATCCATCCCCCTCGCCATAACCTCCGTCACGACCAACACCCAAACCCCGCCCTCCCTGAACCCCTTCACGACCTCATCCCTCTCCTTATTGCTTTTCCCACCATGTACGACCCCCACCCTTACGCCATCCATCTCGGTCTGTAATTGCGCGTACAGGTCGTCTGCGCGCTGGATAGACTGGACAAAGATGAGCGAGGGGTAAGGGAGGGAGCCGGAGCTCAGGAGGTTGCGGAGCGCGAGGAGTTTGCCGGATTCTGTAGCTGTGAAGAGGAGGGATTGGGCGACGGTGGATACGGCCGAGTCCCTGTGGGGTCAGCTGGAGGTCACGCTGGGTTGATGTATCCATCTGCACGCTGATGAAGATGTCCCAGGTTGATCCAGCAGAGCTAGCAGGGGCAGCTCTCGTGTCTGGTACTGGCTCCCTAGAAACCCCTAAGCCCCTGCTCATCACTTGCCGGACCGGCTCCATCCACATCCGTCCGATTTTCACTTGGCCCACTCGTCATTTCCCATGTTCCGCTTGACCTCCATCATCTGCCTTGATCTCTAATCTGCTCACTCCAAGTCAAAAGCCAACTCACTTGATCCCAACCACGACCCGCACTCCCCCATCTTTCATCCACCCCCGCGCAACCGCCTCCTGGCTCGCCGGAATTGTAGCCGAAAGCAACACCTTTTGGATCTTGGGCGACAAGCAGGCAGAAACGATCGGTTGGACTTGAGGGAGAAAGTCGGGCGAGAGGAGGCGGTCGGCTTCGTCCATGACTAGATGTAGCGTTCTGGTCATCAGCTCATGTTCGAAATTGGGTCGTCGTTCTGACAGGAAGCAGGAAGGTCAATGGCGGATTGGGACTTACTTGGCCAGGGAGAGTTGTTGGTTCTGGACAAGGTGATGCAGCCTTTCTGGGGTGGCGATGAGGATATCCAGTCCGAGTGATCCGGCCCTCCCTTCGCCAGCGTTTCCGGTCCGCGACGCCTTCTCTTCCCCATCCTCACTTCCGCCCTCAGCACTGTCCTCGTCTGATTCTTCCCCATCTTCCTCTGCGTCGTCCTCGACCGCCGCCTTGCCCGCCTCCTTCTTCCCCCCTTGGCCCACCCCGCCCACCCACTTGCCCCCCGGACTGCTCTCACAAACCGCCTTCTCTGTCGCTTTACTAAGCGCCATGACCCTCCACGCCCTTCCCGCCGTCACAGCCTTCACGACCCCCAGAATCTGTTGTCCCAAATCATGCGTCGGAACAAGTATCACCGCTCTCACCCCCTCTCCCTTCCCCCTGATCCTCGCTGGCTCCCCCAGGGACACCAGCACCGGCAAGACATACGCCAGCGTCTTGCCGCTTCCCGTGGGCGCCACGCACATGACGTCTTTCCCATCTAGGACGCACCCGCCCACGCTCGCTTGGACGCCCCAGAGGCTTTTGATGCCCGCCTGGTCTAGGGCGCGGAGGAGGGGTTTGCCGCTTGCCTGAGGCAGTGGGTGATTGGGATGAGACAGGAGGGAGGGAAGGTTGGCGTGCAGGGATGCGGGGAGGGGGGAGGGGCCGGAGAGCGTTATTTTTTGGGTTGGCGGTGCGGGGGCAGGGGTCGATGAGGATGAGGATTTCGAGTCGGAGTTCGAGTCTGAGTCTTCGGCGATAGGTTCCGGACGGATCGGGCGAGAGGATGAGGGATCAGAGAACACGTTGAGACCCGCCGGGAGTGGGCCTTGGGTGCCTGATCTACCGGCCGACGATGAGGTGCGGCGCTTCTTGCTCGGCTTGGAAGTTTCGGTTGGCTAAGGGATAAGCTATGTCTACTCCATCTTAGACATCGATGAATACGCGATAACTTACCTTGGTGAATAGTTCATGATCATGCTTGAAACGGGTCTTGTCAAAGCGTGCTCCGCCAGCAGTGAGGAGGTTGAAGGCAGACCCGGCCGAGCTCTTTCCTCGAGCAGTGGTGGACATTACGGCTAGTCTTGAAGGTTCACCGCTTTGTTAGGTCTGCTTCTGAGCTCCTGATGAGTACAAGTAAGCGTCGTATAGGGGGGTATAATATCGTATGAGAGGTGAGATATATAGGCAGGAGAAGAGAGAGGGGGTCACAGGGTGGAGGTAGGCAGAAAACTTTGCTGTGGGCGGAGTTGTCTCTCAACTCCGGGCAGTGTGGCTGCTTGTACCTGACCTGATGCCCTGGAGTCTAGCAAGTGCATGCATGTGCATCCCGCAGACCTTGACAGAGGGCAATTACACAGCTGTTGTATGGCAGCATGCTCCACAAGCTATCCTTCACCTCAGTCACAATGGCGGAAGACGAGCGCCGGGCGAGATTCTGCATATTCGCCACCGAGATCAATCGCGCCTGCACAGCTGCAGATGTCTCCAGCTCGCTGCGCTCTCATCCCCTCCGAGGCTCTAAGAGATACTTTAGCCTGTGACGGGGCTCCTCCCCAGAGTCGAGGGCACTGTTTGAACGCACCAGCGGTAACGGCCGTGGAGTATATATGGACGGCGGTAGCCTCGTATCTGGCGGTCCGAGGCTCACGATGACCGCCATCTCCAGACCCCTTGCGAAGCACCTTCCCCACTCTGTAACTCCCGGGTTTGCTACCCCTTATCTCGGGCTTGGAGCTTCGGAGTGGGGGACATCGAACAAGAGGGGCAGCATGGGAGGCAAAAGGTGGAGGCATTTCGGCGCCGGAAGTCGCCGACGCTAGTCTTGGCCGCTCCTTATCACCTGTTCTCCGCTCTTCCTTCAATCCATATCCTCCGATATCTATATGACATACAGCCCACATGGGTGGACAAGGCACCAGAGAGCGGTGGAGCGGCGCCGATAAGGCTGATATGGTTGAGCCGGTCCCCACTCCGTCCCCCACTCTCCGTTTTGCCCCTCACGACCTATATCTTTTCCCCCCTCTCCCTATCTCTTCCTACTTACTACCTCTTATCCCCGTACTCACCGACACGCAAGATGTCCCAGATCACGCGCCACCACTCGGCCTCCTCTTTCCAACTCGACAAGGAGAAGGAGGAAACCGAAATCTCTCAACATGTCGCCCTCGAAGACATGCACCTCGTTCACATGTCTATGGAGGAAAGGACCGCCGCCTTCGCCCTCGCCCGTGAGCTCGATCCCGGACCGCCTGTCTTCAGCTGGCGATACCTCAACTTCTTTATGAGTATCGTGGTCGTCCTCGTCTGCTCCTGCGATAGCGGTTTCGACTCGACCATCATGTCGAGCGTCAACTCGATGACTCAGTTCCAGGACTACTTTGGGTTGATCTCTGCTTCGACTGGGACAGGTATACTCTTCGTGAGCTCTTCGCTCTCTGTCTGGTTCTGCGAGAAGGCTGGCGTTCAAGGATGAGGCGCTTATGATACATGAGCGCATAGCTGACCAGCAGGGTGTCTATACTGTCGGCTCGGTCTGCTCATTCTTCCCCAACATCATCCTCCCTGATCTTTTGGGAAGGAGGGTCTGTATGATAATTGGGAATTCGCTGCTCATGTAAGCTCTATCAACATCACCCCTTGAGCTCCGCTGACCCCCAGGACCGGCGCCATTATCTCTGCCAACGCCAAAGACATGCCGATGCTGCTGGGCGGACGATGGTTGACTGGATTCGGGTGTACCATGGGCGTCCTCAGTGTAAGTCATCCTCTCTCGTCGTGGAACCTAGCTGACGACACAGAGCAAGCTGTACATGGCCGAGATCACCCCCGCCACCTCCCGAGGCCGATACATGGGTTTCTTAAGTACATCTTTGCCCCTCCTCTCCCTACCCCGCTGACACCCAGATTCCTTCTTCTTTGTCGGCCAAATCGCCGCCACGGCAGCTGCCATCCCTCTCGGCCGGCTCACCTCGGAATGGTCCTGGCGCACCTGCCTCTACCTCCAGTGCGGCCCCGCCGTCGTCAACATCCTCGGTGTCCCCTGGATTGCTGAATCCCCTCGATGGCTCTACGCCCGTGGTCACGCCGAACGCGCACGCGCCATTCTCGCCAAGTACCACTCTCGGACTGGGGACGTCAACTCCCCAGTCATCAAGCTCGAGATGCAGGAGATTGAGGCGGCCATCTCGCTCGAAGGGGGTGATAGGCAGTTTTGGAACTTTAAAAAGGTGTTTGGGACACGGGCGGATAGGTACAGGTTTGGTCTGTGCCTGATGATCTCGGTATGGGGTCAGCTCGCGGGGAACTCGCTCATCACTTGTGAGTATTGGTCTTGAGGATGAGGATAGGGCTGATGGACAGACTTCCTCCCGGTCTTGCTTGGTCTTGCTGGTATTGAGAATCGGGACACTCAGAGACAGCTCAACCTCGTCAACTCGGTCACGTCCATGTGTGGCGCTATCGCTGGTGAGTCTCACCCTCTCTTCTTTCTTCACCCGTCTTTGCCAATACCGTTCCTACCCATCCTCCTTCCCCTCTCTGCTCCCTGCTCTCCGCTTTCATCATCCTACCCTCTGCCCTTCCTTCTTTTCTCTTCCCCCTCATCATCCCTCTTGTCGCTGTTCCCTCCGCTCTACCGTACGAGACCACGGCTGAACCCCAGGCTCGTCCGCAGTAGACCACATCGGCCGCCGCAAACTCCTTCTCTCCGCCATCACCGGCGCCTGCTGCGGCATGTTTCTAGTCGGCGCACTCAACAGTCCGGCCGGTGTCCAGTCGAAAACGAGGGCTGACGCGGGTATCAGTTTCATCTGTGAGTGCTGCTCTTTGTCTGCTTTTGTCAGGGGAAGAGGCTGACGATCAGTCTTGTTTGGCGTCTTTTACTCGTTCGGTATGACCCCGCTCCAGTAAGTACATGCTGCGGCCTTGCTTTTCTCTTCCTTCACGCTCCTGTCACTCCCCTCCCCTTTGATCGCCACCGCACCCGCCAGCTCTTGCTCCTCACTCGTGTACCATCTGCGTCCATGACCATAGCTGACGGTACAGGGGCCTCTACCCCTCCGAAGTCCTCTCGTTCGAGAATCGAGCCAAGGGTCTTTCACTTCAAGCTTGGTTCACCAACGCTATCGCCTGCATCAACACCTTTGCCATTCCGCCGGCGTTGGGCAAGTTGGGCTACATCGGTATGCTCTATTTCCCTCCACCCCTTACCTCCCCACCGTTCGACCATGAGCCATGCTGATCGTCAGTGTACTTCATGTTCGGCGCGTGGAACTTGATCGGTATTGCGGTCATCTATACATTTGCTGTTGAAGTGAGTCTCACTCTTCCCTCCCTTGCTCTCCCCTCCGCTATCACCTATATGCGCCCATCTCCAGTCTCCGTCCCCCACTCAAATGACCTCTTCTCCATCTTCGTGTCTCCCTTCCCTTCCTTCCTACCCGCCGTCCCTCTGCCCACTCGCCCTCACTCTCCCCACTGCACGAGCCAAGCTAATCTTCAGACTAAACAACTCTCCCTCGAAGAGATGTCCGAGGTCTTTGACGCCCCTCGACCCAAGCTGCGCAGCTTTGAGCTCGCCGCTGTAGCTCGTGAGCGGGTCAAGAAGGAGAAGGAGCTACTTCGCGCGAGGGAGTAGGGTGTTGGGCGTCCGCGGCGGTTTCGGTAGATGTCAAGATGGCATTGAGCGAGCTAGGTTTCGGAGGGGTCCAATCTGGTACGAGTTCGAGTTGCTTGTAGGGTCCGTGTAGTATGCAATGACCTAGATGGGTACTGAAAACTGAGAAGCGAGCTCAAGCGCCACAGCGTGAGTCCGAAGCGGCCATTCACAGCTGGTCCGGACGTCTGATTTGGGGAGGGCTGACATTGCTGTGAGTACTGTACGAGTTGGACAGAAGGTCAGACCCAAGCGCCCGCCGCAGTCAGCTGTGCAGCGGATCGAAGCCCACTCTCTGCGCAACGCGGAAAAGGAGACGGCTGTATGTGACGGTCTTCGTGCTGCTGTCGGAGAAGACATCTGCTGGCTCCTGGCTTGCTGGAAGACTTCAGCCAAAGACAGAGCGCCAGTGGTGAGAGCATGAACACACAGTTGTCATTGCCGCCGACCGGAGTCCGAGCGGCGAGCGCATCGCGTCGGGTATTGCATTAGCCTTCTTCCGCATCGGCTCCTCCGCTGTCATCCGCTTGATAGCGCGTCGAGGCGCGTCCGTCGCAGGACGCCCGGCGCCGAGGCCCGATTGAAGTGGGGGACAGCCGGGCCCGGAGGTCCCTTTTGGGAATTCTCGGATAAATATCAAGCCATGGTCAGCGGGCAGCATGAGAGGCGGATAAATTGCGCTGATATAGAGTTTGAATCATGAGCGGCTGGGGCTGGCTGGGAGAGGAGAAGAACGGCAAACAGCGGCGTCCTTAGCAAATGATATTCAGCGCAATGGCGATCGGGGCAAGGGGCAAGAGCTGTTCGGAGAAATAGTCAATGGACTAGCCTTGGCGAATTACTACTTTGGGCAAGAAGAACACGGTTACCCCGCTTGGCCCCGGAGGGGACTCCGGACCGCGGTCCCCGATGCCCCGCACTGTCACCTGTCCCCCCTCTTGCTCACTCATCTATATATCCAGCAGCCCATCATGCCTCTCTTCCGCTCCTACTCATCTTCGCCACCAGTGCTCCATCAAGCAAGGCGTACTTACTGCATACTCATACCTCTTTCGACACACGCGATTCGCCATGTCGGCCATTCGGTCCAATTCCTACACCCACGAGGAGAAGGAGAAGGATGAGCACCATGAGGGGGGTGAGCCCACCTCGCTGGAGAACGTCCATTTCGCCCATATGAGCGCAGAGGAGAGGACAGCCGCCTTCCAGCTGGCGCGCTCCATCGACCCGGGACCGGCTACCTTCTCCATGCGGTACCTCACCTTCTTCCTCTCCTGCTTCGTCGCCATTGTCTGCTCCTGCGACACTGGCTTCGACACCACCATCATGTCCTCCGTCAACTCCATGACCCAGTTCCAGACCTACTTTGGCTTGGTCTCTGCAAGTACAGGCACAGGTATTCTATTTGTGCGTTGTATCTCGAGGATTGAGGGGTTTTGAGTGGCGCTGACTGGTCAGGGTATCTACACCGTCGGTGGGGTTTGTGCTTTCTTCCCCAACATCTATCTCCCGGACAAAATCGGCAGGCGTTACTCGATGTTCTACGGCAATGGATTGCTCATGTACGTCGTGTTTTGATGCTTGGAAGTCGCCAGAAACTGACAGACAGTATCGGTGCCCTTATTTCCGCCAATGCCAAGTCGTACGAGATGCTCCTCGGCGGTCGGTGGTTGACCGGGTTTGGCTGCTCTACCGCTGCGCTTGCTGCTAAGCTCTGGCTCAGTGAGATCGCTCCGGCCTCGTCCCGCGGTCGATACATGGGTGTCCTCAGTGAGTTCTCCCTTCCCCCCTCTTTTTCCTCCCTTTCGTTCCTCAAGCTGATCGGCAGACTCCTTCTACTACGTCGGCCAGATCCTCGCCACTGTGAGTAGCCATGATCTCTACATAAATCTATGCTGACCTCCAGGGTGTCGCCATTCCCCTTGGCCGAGTCGATACCGAGTACTCATGGCGCACTTGCCTATACCTCCAGCTTGGTCCCGCAGTCATCAACTGCGCCTTTGTTCTCTTCATCAAGGAGTCTCCTCGTTGGCTCTACGCTCGTGGCCACCGTGACCGCGCCGTCGACATCCTCGCCAAGTACCACTCCGCCACCGGTGATATCGAATCCCCCGTCGTCAAGCTCGAGATCCAGGAGATTGAGGCCGCCATCTCGCTCGAGGGTGGTGACCGTCAGTTCTGGAACTTCAAGAAGGTCTTCGACTCCCCCTCCAACCGCTACCGATTCGGTCTCTGCGCCATGATCTCGTGCTGGGGTCAGCTCGCTGGTAACGGTCTCATCACTTGTAAGTTTGCGCGCCAATAAGGTGGACTTGGCTGATGCCCAGACTTCCTTCCCGTCCTTCTCGGTCTCGCTGGTATCACCAACCGTGACACCCAGCGTCAGCTCAACTTGGTCAACTCAATCACCTCCATGTGCGGTGCTCTCACCGGTAAGTCTCTCTCTTTCTGCTTGGGTATTGGGCTGACCTCCAGGTTCCGCTGTCGTTGACCACGTCGGGCGCCGCAAGCTCCTCCTCACCGGTCTTACCTGCGCTTGCGTCGGCATGTTTATTGTCGGCTCCCTCCTCTCCCCCGCTGGCGAGCAGTCAAAGACGAGAGCGGACGCTGGTATTTCGTTCATATGTAAGTCCTCCCTATTCTTATCTCCTAGGTACTAGCTGACCCTCAGTCCTCTTCATGGTCTTCTTCTCCTTCGGTATGACTCCCCTTCAGGGTCTCTACCCCGCTGAGGTCCTCACTTTCGAGAACCGTGCCAAGGGTCTTTCGCTCCAGGCATGGGTCACCAGCGCTGTCTCGTGCATCAACACCTTCGGTCTTCCCCCAGCCCTCGGCTCCCTCGGTTACATTGGTGAGTCTTGTCTTCTTTCCCCATCCTCACCACTCCTTACCTCGCCCCCATTTGCTGCTCTGAGCCCAGCTGATCATCAGTGTACTTTATCTTTGGTGCTTGGGATATCGTCGGTGTGGCCACCGTGTACACCTTTGCCGTCGAGGTCAGTCCTGCTTCCTCATTAACACTAGACCCATGCTGATACTTCTCAGACCAAGCAGCTCTCCCTTGAAGAGATGTCCGAAGTCTTCGAGGCACCCAACCCCAAGAAGCGCTCGTTCGAGCTCGCCGCTGCGGCGCGGGCAAGGGTCAAGAAGGAGAAGGAGCTCGGCCGGGCCTAGGCTTGTCTTGTGTAGCGGAAAGGTGTGGTGGATAGAGGGGAGGGTTGAAGGATGTCGGCTAGGTATTGTACTGAGAAGTAAACAGATATTTGGTTATTGTATCGAGGTATCAAGGACGGGATGTATTGGGTCATCTTGCAGTATCAATAAAAGCTGGTGCCCTCCGCGTTCCAAAGGCTATTGGGTATGAAGGCTCGGCCTGAGTCAGCAGCTCTCGTTTGGGTCATCTTGCAGTTTCAATAAAAGCTGGTGCTCTCAGGGCCATTGGCTCGGCCTGAGTCAGCAGCTCCCGTTTGGGTCATCTTGCAGTTTCCATAAAAGCTGGTGCTCTCCGCCTTTCAAGGGCCATTGGCTCGGCCTGAGTCAGCAGCTCTTGTATTGGGTCATCTTGCAGTATCAACAAAAGCTGGTGCTCTCCGCCTTGCAAAGGCCCTCGGGTCTGGTGGCTCGACCTGAGTCAGCAGCTCTTGAACCATCTCGGCGATGTAACCATCAGATCCTTCAGTACGTTGAAATACCCAAGGAAATGCATCATACCAATAGACGAAACGACAACGCTGCCTCGCCGAGCAGCTTCAAACGTGTGACCGAGACTAACACCCCGGGAATGGGTTCTAAGGATGGTCAGCTGCGACTGGAGACGGTGGGTAATAGAGGAGTCCTGTCAAACTCACATCTTCGGTCGGCAACGCCACCTGGTACATCGGGTGCTGATGGTGATACTTAAAGTCGCAGTACTGGACCACCGTCCCTGGCTCAAAGAACATCAAGGTCGTGGCTCGACGCAACCCCGCATCTCCTATGCAGAGTCAGCACGATCCACCTCCGTAAGAGAGAAACTCACCCCATCGATGCTTGTAAAACCCCTCCTCATGCTTCAACAGATCCAGCAAAAAGTCGGCCACCTCTGGTTTCCTAAAGCTCGCCAGATGCGCAATCTCCCAGTTGTTGTACCACGTAGGTATATCCTTGTCTTCCTTCATGACCGGAAAGCGACCCGCTCGGAGCTTGTCGGCGAGATCCAATTTGGGATGACGGTTGGTATAGTCCAACAGGTACGCGGGGAGTTTGCGGACGGCGAAATCGGGATCACCGCCGGCTTTGCGGAACGCATAGCGGATTCCGTGTCGGACCGCGCGACGGAACGGGTCTTCAATCATCGGTGTGATGATGTAGGAATCAGAGTCCATTCGCACTGCTATCAGCTACCGTCTCTGCAGAACTCACTGTAGTAGTCGTAGTTTCGTATTTGGGGGTGCCAAAAGATGGACACGGCAAAGAAGCGACACATCGAGTGATAGCCTGGCATCAGCTAGACCAGATTCCAGACGTACCAGGCCAATTGCCTCCGAAAAACATTGGCTCCAGCGCATCCTTGCCCTTCTTGGCGATCCCCACCGGGACGTCCATATTGATGTACACAAACACCAGCATCGACTCCATAACCCTCAGCTTACGCGCCACACCCGCTTCCGCCGTCTCGAGTGCCGCTGCACGGGCCAATAGCCGATCCCGGAACTCGTGCTGGATGGAATCCGAGCTGAGATCCCCAGAGTGCATCATCAGCATCGAGTACGGCTGGGCCATGGGCATGTTCCGAGCGATAGATTCCAGCGATACGGCCGTTTCAGCGAGTTTTTGCCGACGCGTCAGCCAGGCTATGGCAGCGGTGTATTTGGGGACGGTTGTGGAGGTGGCATTGAGGAGGTGACCGGGCTCCGTGTCGTATTCTGGGGCGAGGAAGGGTATACCTGGCGTCAGCGGGTCCTGGCGTGTACTCACTGTTTGCTTCTAGATGAGCCGCCGTAAAGTTGAACTCTGCATTCGTCTCCTTCTTCCACGTCAATGCGGTGAGGTCCCTTTTTGACAGGTGGTCCGCGTCGAGGACGGCACGAGGATGTGAAACGCGACTTTGATAGGCGGATTCTAGAGAGGCCCGCCGGTAGAAAATAATCCAGACAACGAGTGCTGTCAGCGCGGTGACTATTAGCCTCTGCCTGTAGCGCATGACGGCGGCCCTATTGAGCTGTAGCAAGGACTGATAAGATAAGATATAGAGACTTTTACAAGGAAATCATCTCTGCGGGACGGGTCAAGCTGTTTGCGGGTGCACCCGTGGGAAAGCAGAGAGGCACGTGACTGATTTCGTGCAGCGAGAGGGGCCGGCTACAGCCCCCATAGCCACGCTTTCTGTCTCTGAGCGGATAGCATACCACTGCATTTGCCATGGCCGAAGACTCTGAGGCTCGAGAGCGGCCCGCTCAGCATGGTTTGACCACTACTTTTCTCCTCGGTAGAGGATCGCTGAGCCTCGCTGAGCCATAAAATACCGCTTTGGGTGATAATCGGCGAGTTTACGTTACGTTTCAGGATGCGTTTCAGATAATGGGTATCTTATCAAGGTTGTGTGTCGCGCCCGGGACCGTGCGTGTCGGTGTGGTCAAGCTGATGCTAGCGGGGCGATGTTGGAGGCACGCCCAGGAGTGGACGCTGTGATGATCATGAACGCCAAGTAGGTCCATATCGATCAAGCTGATGATAGCGAGTACCACGTCATCCATGCTGTTCAGTGCCTCCGCGCGGGCCGACACGTCTTCATCGAGAAATCAATGGCGTGGAATCTCGCAGGCGCTGACGAGGTCATTGCGGCGGAGCGCGCGTCGGGCAAGACTGTCTTTGTGGGCTATATGCGACGATACGCGACTGCCTTCCTGCGTGTCATGGAGATGGTTCAGGCCCTTCCGCCCAAGGGGATAGCTTTTGGTGAGTTGAGGCGAGATGGGGCTGGTACACTCCGTGTGCGAGACATGATTGGCTCCGTGGGTTCGGGACAGGCAGCGCTGATGCAGAATGCGCTGTTTACTGATCAAGGCGGATGGTTCCCTGAGCGCTTCACCGGTGAGTCTGGGCTGGACTGAGCTGATGAAGACTTTCCGGTCGACGCGAACGCCGAGCGACAGCGGCTGTCGATGCAGCAGTATAAGGAGGCGCTGGGGGCCAAGGCGGACGAGCCCGGCTCGCAGCGGACATGGATACTACTGAATCTGTTGGCGTCGCATGACCTCTCGGCGATGCGCGAGCTGCTTGGAATGCCAGAGAAAGTCCTGCACGCTTGGAAGAGTCCCAGTTGGCCATTCATGACTGTCACCTTTCAATAGTATATTCGGCTATGGCTGGGCTAATGACAGTGAAGGATTTGTAGCGCACTACGAAGTCGGGATTGATAATGTCCGGGTGTTTGACGCGCACATCGAGGTGTACGCAAGAGACAAGCGGATTAAGCTTACATACGATACGTGAGTGTGCGCTCTGCCAAGCTGATTCAGTCCGTACATCAAAGGCCTCCCGGTCACCGCCACCATTCTCAGCAGCAGGGAGAATGGGGACCACTCAGAGGAGATCATACGACCCACGTACGAGGACGCCTACACGCTCGAGTAGAAGGCGTGGTATGCGGGCCTGGAGGGGATTGCTGATGTCAAGACGACCGCAGAGGACGGTGAGTATGTCAGTGAATTAGCTGATGGTAGCCAAGCTAGATCTGGAAATCATGATGATGATCATGGAGGCTCTATAGATGCATCTAACGAAATGGGAATCCCCCTTGAGCCTGAGATCAGCATTGTCGACCGCACACTCACCTCGCCCGGCGCCATCTGGAGCCAAAAATCCTGCAAATCCAGCGCATCCCCATTCTCCTCCAACCAGTCAAAGTTGAGCTCTTGAGACGGTCCAGCCGGAGCAGCAGGCATCTGAGGTAGCTGAGGGATGTTCCGCTTGGGGAGGACAGGCGAGTTGTACTGGAACGACACGTCATGCGCTGGCGGTGGGGCATCGGGAAAGTTCCAGATGGGCGGAGAGCCAGCGCGTACGGTTGTCGTCTGCATTAGCTCTATTAAGCTTAGGCTCACCTCCATCCCGGACAGCTTCTTGCGGAGATCCTCCAGCTGGCGTGCGTATCTGACGGCAGGATTGTTCTCGTCGTGCGAAGCGGTAGCCAGGCAGCCGCAGAGCGAGTCGATAAGCTCAAGGGATCTATCAGCTTCGCTCTATTCAAACTCACTCGGCCTGGTCTTCCCTCAGCATCGCCCCCGAGTAGATTGCCTTGAGAAGCACGATCGCCGCGTAGGTGAACCAGAGGAGGTACCGGTTTGGCAGGAACGACAATGTCCCTCGAGGGGACAGGCTATGCACGCAGATCTGTAGGAGCTTCCGAGCGGCAGTGCACGACTGAAAGATGTAGCGCGCGTCCGGACTCGCCGCTGCGCCGTGAGGGAAGAGGTTGGGTGGAAGAGCGATACCGGTGTGGTCCCGTTCTGTCTCGGCTCGTTTGGTCGCTCGCTCCACATGCGCTTGCTACTATCAGCCAAGTCTTACTCAGACTTACGAAAGCAAAGGCGGTGATGTAGAGCTCGGTGTAGTAGAACATTGCCCAGAGCGTATCGGTCAGCGGAAAGATCGTCCACTTCTTGTCGCCCCAAAGTCGCTTGAAGCTATCGAGCGACCGAGCTAGCTCGTCCAGATACTTAAAGTACTCGCCGTGCCTATATCAGCCATGTCAAATGCTCACTTACATGACGATGCTCTTGGTCCGCGCTGCATTCGGGTACAAGCAGCTCTGCGCATTGGTCATCATCTGCGTGAGCTCCACATAGGCTTGAACCAGCGCGGCAAGCTCTTCCTGCGGTTCGACACCTTCGCTGGCCGGCTCGCATAGAAGAGGAAAGTTACGCGCGCCGGCAGGAGGGCCGGTCTGGTTCGTACTGGAGAAGCCCTCAAAGCAGATCGATGGACCGCGTGACCAAAACGCCATACCGAGGCGGAGCGAGATGTGCCGGTCAAAGATGTAGCAGTCTATGTCAGCTCAGCTTAGAGGTAACTTACATGTCCAGGTTTGACGAGCACGCTCGAGCTCCTTGGTCCGCTCAGTCTCGCCGACGATTTCAAACGCGATCTGATCAGCAAAGTCGCTGGAGAGCTCACCTTTTCCAGACCGAGACCATAGGCACACCGGATCGCCGCTCCGATGAGCATCCACGCTTGGCGATTCTCCGAGCCGTGCACTTCCTCCACGTCCCGCGATGGCTCCCTGGGGAGGTTTTCCGAGAGCAGCAGTAACCCCTCGACGAGCCCGATTGTAGGCTGACCGCCAAGAAGCAGAACGTCCGACAACCACCCCTATGATCAGCTAGGCCGTATGCCTACTCACTCTGAAAAGAGCCCATGACTTGTCATGCACCTCGCTCATCCCCTTGTCATTCCTACTCGCAATGATGATAATCGCAGCAAGCAGGTCTCGCTCGTCGTCTGCAAACGTAGCAAGCTGCTGCGGCGTTCGAGGAATGTCCGCCACAGGAACCATAGGCTACATCAGCTCCGCCATGCCAATACTCACATAGTAGTGATGATGACACCCAAAGAAGATCTCCGAAAGCTGCACGACCTGCTCCGTCGTCACAATCCCCGCTTTGACCAACTCAAACTCTTCCAGCTTTGCCGCATCGCCAGATCGGCGCCTTCGCTTCCCCTTGACTTTCCGCCCCAGCGCTAAAATCTCCATCGCATCTGCCTCGTTCGCCAAGTCAGCCGCAACGAGGTTGCTGGGGTGTTCTCCGCCGCTCCCGAGTGGTGGACCGAGGGAAGGCCGGCGAGGGAACGCCTGCATTGGTTCTTGCGGTAGCATAGGCGCCGAGCTCCAGAGATCGAATGTGGGATTATGGGATACGCCGCTACTGCTCGGACGGGGCGCGATGGGGAGGTAGGTGGGAAAGTCGGCGGCTGGAGCCCAGCTTGGACCGGCGGTAGCAGCACCAGGCGTTGCTTCGGACTTTCGGCGGAGGTTCTTGCCGTTCCCACCGCGTCGAGAAGGGGCAAAGAGGCATTCCCGAGATTCGCGTTTGCATCGAGAGCAGGGTGGATGGGAGGGAGCGTCGACATCGCCCTACAGTCAGCTCGACTAGAAGGCGTCATACCAAGTCGCATTTGGCTTTCCGGCTTCGGCAGTGGAGGCTGCGCGTCAGCTGGGGCCTATAGGCCAGCAGAAAACTCACCAGGCGCGATAGAGCCGCTTCGTCTGGCCGCCTGCGACTGGCCTGTCCTCATAGTAGTCGGTATTATTGTCCATGCTGAGCTTGGTACCGCAAGATTAATTAGGTTCAAGGTAAATAATGTTGGCAGTGGCGGACTTCGAGCGACGATCTTGCACCGGTTGTCGGCCCGGCGGTTCGGGTATGGGCGCTCCTCCGCTGCTGCTAGCTGCGGTGGTCGGTATGTCGACGCCCATGATGCTGGTAACGCCCATATGGGAAGGAGCTCGGGTATAGCGCCGAAAGCCAAGCGGGATGAATCAGAGTGACGTTATGACGCGGATCTACATCCGAACTGCTTGACCCGACGGCCGAAGATGTTCCGCTTGTATGGCCAGAGTGATACTGCGAGCGAAGCCGAGCAGAGTATGTAGCATTGATATCACGACAGCGGCCCCTATTTCCCCACTACGCGCGGCGCCTCCCACCCCAGCGACGCATAGGTGACCTGCTTCCCCTTGAGCCCCTTGACCGCCACCTTGTACTCTTCCCCTGGGTATAGATCGATCTACCCATCAGCTCAACCCTCACAGAAAGCCAAAGACCTACCGAGTTGTCCCCCCATACAACGTGATCATTCTCTCCCATCACGTCCAGCCAGAGCGCCTTGGCCGGCTTCTTGCAGCTGACCACCACGCACCCCTCGCCCACCTCCACCTTGACGCCCGGATCAGGGAGATCCAGAAACTTGAGCGGCTGCGGCCAGTCATCGTACCTGACCTTCTGGTCCCCGACCTCGAGCGTCGCGTGGAGTATGAGCGTCCCAGTCGGCGCCGAGGTGTCAAATACCTTGTCGGCCGGGGGCGGAGGGAGCTCGCCCGTCCAGATCTCGGTAGACTTGTTTCCCCCGAGAGTGACTTGTCGAGTGACGATGGTGGTTCCCCAGCCAGTCATGAGGTCGAGGGCCTTGAGAGTGAAGACTGCGGTAGTTTCCGGACCGCCATTGGACGCCCAGACCTGGGCGGTAGCGCGGGTCGACTGGAACGCGCCGTATTCGTAGTACTGCCGGGGCCGGTCATTCTCTCGGTTCTTCTCGACGATCCGGAGGACGCCAAGACTGACGGGCGCGAGAGCAGCAGTGACGGCAAAGTAGGCGGGTTTGGGCCGGTACTATCATCAGCTCAGCCTGCACTTGGACTTACAAAAGAGTCGACCAGAGCCCAGCTGGTGACGGGCCAGCAGTCGTTGATCTGCCAAACGAGAACACCGCCGCACTACATCAGCTCATCCTTGGGAGTACTCACGTATTCCTTCTCCTCGCCTTTCCACTCTCGGCGCCAAGTGCGGTACGCCCCACCTACCCCTTCAGCCTGCATGAGCTGGTTCCGGAAGAGGTACCTGACATCAGCCCCGTCGCGGCCTGACCTACTCGGTGAGATCCCCAGTCATCCTAAAGTTCTCGTTCATCAGCCCCGCGAACCGCCGCTCAAAGCTTCCGGCCTTGTTGTGCTGCTGCATGAGCTTGGACTGAGGATGGGCTTGAGTGGTATCGCCGTCGAGCCAGTAGTCGACGGTCCGGCGGTCAGGGAGACCGGGGAGGCCAAACTCGGAGACAAAGCGCCCGCCGAGGCGGTCCCAGTCGTGATAGCCGTGTTCCTTGCCGGACCAAACGTCCCATTGGTGCTGATGATCAGCTTGGAAGCAGTGACAACATGAGCGGAGTCGTGAGGGGAAGGGAAAGCAAGGAGATAAGGAGGCTGACTTACTACGTCACCCACAGTCGGATCCGCCGTATCCCACCCCTTACCCCCATAAGGCGATCCAGGCCAGTACGGGATCTTGGGATCGACCAGCTCGCTGATGATATCCGGGAGCATCTTCTCGTAGATGACCCGCGCCGGGAGAGGGTCGCCGCCTTGCTTCATGTCCCACTGCATGATTTGTTGGTCTGGTCATCAGCTGAGTAGCAAATAACAAGGTGGATGGCAGGAGGACCAGAGTATGCTGAGCTGGATATGGGTACTTACAGTCTTCGTTGTTCCCGCAGAGAAGGACCAAGGATGGGTGGTGCCGCAGTCTGGCGACATTGTCCCTCGCCTCGGCCTCGACCGATGCCAAGAACTCGGGGAAGACGGGGTAGACACCGCAGGCGAACATGACTGCCGGTCAGCGCAGCCATTTCCCGCACCCAAGTAGTGACTCACAATCCTGCCACACGAGCAGCCCCATCTCATCGCACATCTCGTAGAAGAACGACGGCTCGTACACCCCTCCGCCCCACACCCTGATCATATTCTGACCCCCGTCCACCTGCTCGTCAGCTCCGACTACCCTCGCGCAGGACAGAGGACATACCATGATCTGAAGCCAACGCCTATACTTGGCCTCCGTCCCGGTCGACAGTACCATATCGATCGGGATCCAATTGCTGCCGCCGATAAAGACTGGCCGATTATTTATCCGAAAAAAGAACGAGGTGCCCTCCTGCCCCTTGAGAGGGGTCTGAACGAGCTCCGCCCGCCTGAATCCGATCTTGCGCGTGAGCGTATCGACGACCGTACCCTGGCGTCAGCACGTCCATCATAGGGAACTTACGGAAGAGTACAGCTCCACTTTGACCTCGTACAAGGTCTGCTTGCCCTCGTTGACCGGCCACCATAGCTCCGCTTTGAGGTCCCATTCCGCCTTGCCTTGGATACGCTCGTCCTTGAGTACTAGACCGTCAGGGCTGGTAACGGTGACGTTGATCTGGCCGGAACCCTCGACGTCGACCTGAACCGCAAGAGACGTCCTGAGCTCGGCATCGACCCGCGCCGAGGTATTGACGGACGAGATGCCCGAGGTAAAGAGGTGGAGGTGGACGGGTCGGTCAATGCCCATGCCTGCGAGTCAGCACGATCTACGTGGAGCGCGAGGAATTCACACCAGAGCTCGGGTCCCCAGTCCCACCGGGCATGATACTGCGCCTTCCTGATCCCGATCCGAGCGCGATCACCGAGGTTGCACGATCCGCCTTTGAAAGGGCCATGCTCTGCTGCCGTCGCGAGTGCCACGTCGAGAGGAGGCGAGATGACCACCAAGAGCTCATTCTCGGCCTTGAGCGTGGAGATGTCGATGAATGTCCGCCAGCTTCGAAAGTGGTTGTCGGATTTGAGGACTTCTTGGCCGTTCTGCCATCAGCTCAGTCAAAAGAAGGACGTACGAGGTAGACCGTAGCAAAGGTGTCGATACTGTCAAAAACGAGCTCGGCTTGCTGATGCTTCCCCAGATCCTTCGGGTCGAGGTTGATTTGAGCGCGGAAAGACCAAGACAGCCTTCCGACCCCTGCTTGTCAGCTCAATTCCTGCAGCAGACTAGCCGCTTACATTGGATATCATGCTCCGCCTTGCCCTTGTTCCAATCAGGAATAGTACCCGCAGCTCGTAGCTCGTCATGTATCTCCGTGGGGAAACTATTGCACGCCGTCCAGTCCGGCGAGATCTCTGGATGGGCAGAGAGTATGGGCGCGTTGGTCTCGATGTTGGGCGTGGGGCCGTACTCCCAGCCCGAAGGTGCCAGCTTGATTAGCGACATGGTAGTGAGGTGTGTGTGAGGTGGATGAGAGATCACGACAAGACAGCTACTCAGATGGTCTGGGCTTGGGTTCTGGACTCGACAAGTCGGAGCCGGACTGCGGGCCGGCGAGGAATTGCGACGCGTGACGCGTAAGTCAGCCCCGCTCAAGCATTGGTAACGATATGCTGGACTGCATATGACGGTCGGACTTCGGGCGGGGAGGCAGGAGCGCTGAATGCCGCAGTACCGGTCGAACGACCCGAAGACCACTCGGACGCCGCGAAATTTCCGCTGGTAGCCGTCAGGAATGCTTTAGCGCTGATCGCTACCGCCGGCCGGACACGGACGCCGCGGTATGTACAGTGATGTTGATGATCGGCGCGGCTACTCGCGCTACAACTACGGTCGTCCGCTTGTCCGCTCATAGCGCTAAGATAGAGGCAAGACAAAGATCATTTGGCCCACCATGAGTTTGCTGGCGGTGAATGCCGTAATATTTGCCACCGAGCCGAACGAACCGGACCTCCACTCGACCACTTTGACCACCATCACCGCTAACACTACTGACCTCCGCTCATTGACGGTGCTGACTATGGCCGGACCGAGCCCTCCGCCCGCTTGGCGCGAGCCTATTATATATCACCAGGCCCCGCTTGAGCCCCGCTTTTGTTCAATCAACCCACCATGTCGACCCAAATCACCCATCTCGAGACCGACGGCGCCAGCCTCAAGGACAAGGAGGAGCAGCTCGAGACCGCCGATGTTCCGCTCTCGGAGCAGCACTGGGTGCACATGACCGCCGAGGATCGCACGGCTGCTTTTGCGCTCGCTCGGGAGCTGGACCCCGGACCGGCCACCCTCTCATGGCGCCACTTCAACTTTTTCATGTCTTGCTTTGTCGTCATCGTCTGCTCGTGCGACTCGGGGTTCGACTCGACCATCATGTCTTCGGTCAACTCGATGACTCAGTTCCAGGACTTCTTCGGACTGACTTCCGCAAGTACAGGCACCGGTATTCTATTCGTAAGTGCTCGTTGAGGCATAGCTGACGCCAGGGTGTCTACACGGTCGGCGGAGTGTGCGCCTTCATTCCCAACATCATTCTTCCGGATTTGTGGGGGAGGAGGAAGTGCATGTGGTTAGGCAATACTCTTCTCATGTACGTCTTCATTTTGCCTTCCTTGACATCCCTAACAAGCAGTATCGGCGCCATCACCTCGGCCAACGCTCAATACATGAGTATGCTCCTCGGTTCCCGCTGGCTCACCGGGTTTGGCTGTACCATGGGCGCCCTCTCCGCCAAGCTATGGATGACTGAGACTACCCCTGCCTCCTCCCGCGGTCGATACATGGGTTTCCTCAGTAAGTCTTCCTTTGGCAATATCTACCTAGCTAATCCCAGACTCCTTCTTCTACGTCGGTCAGATCCTCGCCTCGGTACGTCTCTCTCTCTCCCCTTGACTCTCGCTGACTTGTAGGGCATCTCCATTCCCCTCGGCCGTGTCCTCTCCGACTACTCCTGGCGGACCTGCCTCTACCTCCAGTGCGGACCGGCAATCATCAACGTCATCGGTGTCCTCTTCATCAAAGAGTCTCCCCGGTGGCTGTACGCCCGCGGACACCGGGACCGCGCCATCGATATTCTCGCCAAGTACCACTCTGCCACCGGCGATATCGAGTCCCCCGTCGTCAAGCTCGAAATGCAAGAGATCGAAGCGGCCATCTCGCTCGAAGGGGGCGATCGCCAGTTCTGGAACTTTAAGCGCGTATTTGCGACCGCGTCGGATAGGTACAGATTTGGGCTGTGCGCGATGATCTCGTGCTGGGGTCAGCTTGCGGGTAATGGGCTCATCACCTGTAAGTTTCGCGGTGAGGAAAAAGACTCGGCTGACGATCAGACTTCTTGCCGGTCCTCCTGGGTCTCGCTGGGATTACCAACCGCGATACCCAACGTCAACTCAACTTGGTCAACAGTATCACCTCCATGTGCGGCGCTATCACCGGTAGGTCCTGTTTCTTCTCCATCATCTTCTCCCTTCAGCCAGAGGTAGCTGACCCTCAGGCTCTGCTGTCGTAGACCATGTCGGCAGGCGCAAGCTCCTCCTCACCGCCATCTCGTGCTGCTTTGTCGGGATGTTCATCGTCGGCTCGCTCCTCTCTCCCGCCGGAGAACAGTCCAAGACTCGTGCCGACGCGGGAATCACCTTCATCTGTAAGTCGCCTCCTTCTCTACTCTGGCCTGCTTCTCTGGCTACACAGCTGACGCCCAGTCCTCTTCATGATCTGCTTCTCATTCGGCATGACCCCGCTCCAGGGACTGTACCCCGCCGAAGTCCTTTCGTTCGAGAATCGCGCCAAGGGGTTATCGCTGCAGGGCTGGTGCTCTAATGCTATTTCGTGCATCAACACTTTTGCTCTCCCACCTGCACTCGGGCAGCTGGGGTACATTGGTAAGTCCACACAGATCCCTTCCCCGCTACTACGTTAGCTGACCCACAGTCTACTTTATCTTTGGCGCGTGGGACGTGGTCGGTGTCGTCGTCATCTATCTCTTTGCCGTAGAGGTAAGCTCTCCTCCCTACCTCCTCGTCTGCACCCAGTCTCTAATCACTCCATCCTCGTCTCTCCCCGCCCCAGCTCGTGCTCCTTCATCATATGGGCCTCGCGGTCCCGCTCCCATGCCCTCCTCACCTGCTTCCTGAGCCCCGCTGACCCCCAGACCAAACAACTCTCGCTCGAAGAAATGGCAGACGTCTTTGAAGCGCCCAACCCCAAGAAGCGATCGTTCGAGCTCTCGGCCGCTGCGCGCGCAAAGGTCAAGAAGGAGAAGGCGCTCCGAGCGTAGTGTCTGAGTGACTATACAGGTCAATGGGCGGAAGGCGTTTGGGCTGGCTGAGGAGGGGGAGTAGCTGCTAGTGGCTGGGACTGGAAGGTGTATGCATGTGATACCTGTCTGTCGCTCTTAGCTAAATAGAGACATGATCATGGACTGGTGGAACCGACGGAAGATCCTCGTAATTCCGATGCCCGATGCCCGATCTCATCTGAGCGCTGAGCGCTGGGCCAAAAGAACCGCCGCCTAGCACACCACCTCTCTCCGCCCCTTGACCTTTCCACACCTCTTGACCTTCCTGGCTGGACTCACTACTGTCCATCTCAACGACAGCTCGCCCTATCTCTGCCTCTTTCAGAAAGAGTAGGAATATGTCGTCCCGACCTCGATTTCGTACATCCCGGCCCACCGCAGATGGTGTGACCGAAGCCCCATCGTCCGATCCCGCCTCGTCAGGCACCTCAGCGACCTTTGCCATGCCCGGCTTCTCCACTACCGGTCAATCCACTCTCGGCCCCGGTGCCACTGCCGGGGCGGGCGTTGAGGCCGCCGGGCTGGAGATGCTGATGGACGGCGGACCGTTCAAGGACGCATCGGCCGGTCGCCCAGAGTATGTGTCGCTCCGGCGCAGTACCCGCTCTCTAGCTGGAAGCAGCCATACCACTCCCGTCAAGGCCGAACCGCTCGACAACCTCTCCGGTACCTCATCGATGGGCCCTCCTCAGTCTGGCGCTGGCGCTCGCACCGGTTCAGGCGGAACACCGTCCAAACGAGTCAAGCTCGAACATCCCTCCACTCCCTCCCCTCGCCCGTCCCGTGCCCCTCGCGCATCGAGGACACCATCCTCCGCACGTCGGACCGGTCAGGTCAAGGTCGAGCCCATAGACGGGGAGTCAGAGGTTCTGGTGGAGCTACCAGAATCCACGCCCACACCCAAGAAGAAGGGCACGCCTAAAAAGGCGATGCCGCTTGCGCCGCTCGTCAAGGCCCATCCGGAGCCTGCGAGGTGGAGGGAACAGTATGCTGTGATTGAGGAAATGAGGAGGGGGTTGAATGCGCCGGTGGATACTATGTGAGCTCTTCATTCTTGTATGTGTTGAGCTGGCTTGAGATGACCAGTGAGTGTGTGAAGGGGGGCACAGAAGTCAATGAGAGGGAGCGGCTGAGCTATGGACGGGGGAGGATGGATTGGAGTGAAAGGGATATGACCTTTCGTAGGGACGAGTCTGACTATGCAGGGGCTGTGAACGACCCGACCTCGGACCTGTCCCCGCCGCTGCTTCTACCCCTTCCATTGACCCCTCAACCTCCTCAACTCCTACTACAGCCGCCACTGCTGGTCCGCATGCCCCGCCCCTCTCGCCCAGTATCGAACGCGCCCTCCCTGCCCAGACACGCCGCTTCCACGTCCTCATCTCCCTCATGCTCTCCTCGCAGACCAAAGACGCCGTCACCTCTGCGGCCGTCACCAATCTACACCTGACCCTTCCCGGCGGGCTCACATGCACGTCCTTGGCCGCAGCGGACCGAGGGGTGGTGGAGGGGTGTATTGCCAAAGTAGGGTTTTGGAGGAGGAAGGCAGAGTATATACAGGAGGCGGCAAGAAGGATTGAGATGGGCGAGATTGGGGATGATGGGTCCTTCATAGGGGAAGAGGGAGAAGGTTCGATGGTGGGCACGGGGAAAGGGGAGATACCGCGCACGATTGAGGGGCTTTGTGCGCTGAAGGGAGTAGGGCCAAAGATGGCTTATCTGGCCTTGCAGTGCGCTTGGGATATGTGAGTTTGCCCCTTGCTTGTGCCACTTGCTTCCTCGCCGAGTCGTCTGTCCTTGTCCTGCCCGAACAGTCGAGGGACTGGAGGTAGAGGCGTCCGCGGACAAGCAAGGTCTGAGCTGGAGTAGAGATCTGTGCTGACAAGCAGTAACGCCGGTATTGGCGTCGACGTGCACGTCCACCGAATCACCAACCGGCTGAAATGGCATCGCCCACCGACGGTCACGCCGGAACAGACGAGGGTCAATCTGGAGTCTTGGCTACCTAGGGAACTGCACAAGGGGATCAATCCGATGCTGGTTGGTTTCGGGCAGGTAAGTCTCGCCTCGCTACTTTCTCCGACCGACTCCTTCTCGATCCCATCCAGTCTCACTATCTGATCCTCTCCTTGTCCTACTTCTTGCTGACCCGCAGATGATCTGCCAGCCCGTCGGCCCCCGATGCGATATCTGCCTCCTGGGTATCCGAAAACTCTGCCCTTCTCGCGTCAGCGGCGTCAAGGCGGAAGGCCGGAAACCCGTCTTGTTCAGCTACAAGCTGGACGGAGAGGGGGATATGGAGGATATGATCAAGCCTGACCTGGGACCTGGACCTGAGGTACAGGGTACCGACGGTGGACAAGGTGTGGTACCCGTGCTAGATGGGCGAGACGGAGTAGGTGCGGAAGGGGACGGGATGGAGCGGCTGGTGAGGATGAAGAGTGAAGAGCTGGACGGATCAGAGTTGTTCCTGGGACGCAAAGGAGGGGTGAAGCTGGAGGATAGCTGACACCTTTGCGCATGTATAGGCGATGTATCTTCATCGCCCGACTCCATCCCGGCAAGCAGCTGATATCAATGACCGAACAGGACCGAGCGCTCACTTTACAGACCTCAGCTCATGGCGTATGGCCGTATGCTCTCAGCTCGCTCCCTTCCCGCTCCCGCCGGCACGAGCGGCATTTCATTGTCAGCATCGCCGAAGTACCGATCGATCTCCCGCCTGTCTCCCCCCGAAATTCAATCTGAAACGGGGTCGACACACACGACATGACATCATCCCCCTTAGCGCCTCATTCCTCCTTTCCCCTCCCTTTCGCCCTTCCAAATTTTCATCCTCTCCCTTCAGCCTCGAGGGCACAGGCTCAGGCACAGCTGACTGCTTACTACGACGCGCGTGTTTCAGCTTGGCAAAGAGGGGGTCCTTCCAGCATTTTCGATGACGACAGGTTTCAAAGGATGACGGTGGCGACAAGGAAGGAAGGGGGTATTTAAAGAGGGTTGAGTCATTTCTTTCCCCTTCTTTCCTACATCTTCCTTCATCTTTCTTCTACTCATCTACTCTACTTCAACCTCATCAAGATGTCATACGACGGTCCCGTCAACGCCTTCCCTGGCGACCACGAGCTCCCCATCTCGCTCTACGGCTATACGCCCAATCGCGGCTTCAACATCTTTGCGGCGGTGGTCTGGGGGCTGGTGCTCGTTGCGCATGTGTGGTGGTTGGTCAAGAAGAGGACGAGGGGGATTCAAGCCATGATTGTGATTGGATCGGTGAGTGTTTGGGTCTGGATATGGGAAGGTAGGGGTCGAGGAGAAGGCGTTCTGGCGAAGGAAGTAGGAGAAAGGGGTCAGAGAAGCCGGAGGATCGGTCAAGAGACAGCCAAGGGTGGCAAGGGTGGATCAGATCGAGTACGAAAGAATCCTAGCTAACATTGCAGATCTGGGAACTTATCGGCTATGCCATCCGCGCGCACACCTACCTTCGTCCTTTCCGCTCCGACCTCTTCATCGCCCAGTACACCATCCTCCACACTGCGCCCATCTTCTTCATCATGGCGCTGGTCAATGCCATCGGGTGGGGGATGCGGGGGACGGACAATTCCAGTGTGTATAAGCGGTTCAGGCCGAGGACGCTGACGAGCGGTGAGTCTTTCTTTGGCCTTGGTGGATATACGGGAAGAGAACAAGGGCAAGGTTGGAGCGGAGGAAAGGAGGTGGAGTGTTCGGGGCAGCCCCAGTTCTGACCTGGACTGAGCTGATACCCAGTCCTCCAAGCGCTCAACGCTATCGTCCTTATCCTCGTCACTATCGGCTCGACCATGTACGCCGTCGCTCTCGCCCGGCTCGCCAATCTGGAGGACGTTAGGTTTAAGGGGTCAGCGACCAGGAAGGTTTTGATTGCGGGTCATGCGCTCAAGGTGGGTTCAGCGTCTTCTCAATTCCCTTCTGCCTCGAGTATCCTCTTGTCTTCTTTCATCATACGCATATCTTTGACTCTGTGCCCAGCTGACATCCAGATCGTCTCCCTCCTCGCCATCCTCGCTATCCTCACCCACCTCTTCCTACACTTTAAGCGCGACCCGGTCCGTCACACCCGCCACACCGACGGTCCTATCGGGACTACCACCACCGGTACCACCGGCCACACCGCCGTTGACGGTACCACCACCACCCACACCGGCCCTCACACCACCACCACCGGCACCCACACCACCGCCATCGACCAGACTGCTACCGGACCGCATACCGGCCGAGCAATCACCAAGCTCTTCCTCGCCATCTCGTTCTTGACCGCCGGGATGTTATTGACGAGGACATGCTACCGTCTCGCCGAGACTGTTCAAGGTGAGCTGCTCTCCACCTTTTCGCCCCTCGCCAGACTATCAAGGCGAGAGTGGCATATAGGAATCAAGCTGATACACTAGACGTCTACAGTAGGCCCTGGAACTCGGAAGCGCTCTTCGGGGTGTTTGAATTCGCCATCACCTGGTCCGTCGTCGCTATCTGGGCTGCTCGGCCTTTTGCCACCCAGCTTGCGCCCGCAGGGATCGTCAATGCCCATGACGGGGTTGGGCACACCAACAAGGCGCACGTTTAGGCCCTCGGCCGAGGTGGCTGGACGTAGGGGAGTGGTCATCGGGGGAGGAAGGGAAGCACTTATAATGGGTCTGAAGGTCTGTTTGTACATAGAAGTCTGGGCTGCTTAAACATACACGTTCCGAGTCATAGTCAAGTATATACCGATGTATAGTGTGGTTTGTCACTTGGTTATCTTGTCTGTCAGCAGCCGGTCAGGAGGCGAGGTACGACCGGGAAAGACTAGCTAGACCGGTGTGGCGCTGGGGTAGGGATGGATCGATAGGGTAAGGAGTGCGTAGCCGTAGACAGTGACGAGTGCAGCATCGGCTGCCTAGGGATAGGTAGATCTGGGCATGCCCACTTAATGCCTCCTCTCGCCTCCTCTCGCTCCGCCTCGCTCCGCTCTGAACTTCAGTCATCGGTCTCCTCCGCGCGGCACCACATTCCTCGCCTGCCGTAACTGCCACATTCCCTTTGGGTGGCGAATCATGCGGGGCCCATCTCCACCAAGCAATGCAAGGCACGAGTGTCGGCCGCGCTTGATGCTGTTTCATGTCCGCATGGGCCGTCGCCGTCGCCGTCGGCCAGGACTAAGACTGTCGGCCGCTATTCTCCGCCTGCACAGCATGGTCAGACTGAGCCGAGCACGTGCTGCCCTAGCACCTATATACTCGCGTCGCAAGACGCAGTCCCATAGCTCTTCTCCCATCTCAAAGCCAATTCATCGACATCATGCCGTTCGCCACCCATTCCCTCCTCGGTCACCTCTTCCAGGCCAAGGGGATGACCCTGCCCGAGGGCGATCTGGAGGACAAGACGGTCATCATCACCGGGTCGAACGTGTGAGTGAATAATCTGGGTCAGTAACAGAGCATGAGCTGACTGAAATTAGGGGTATCGGTAAAGCTGCAGCACTTCATCTCGCCAAGCGAAACCCTGCGAGGTTGATTCTAGCCGTCAGAGATGAGAAGGCAGGACAGGCGGCAGCTGCAGAGATAGCAAAGGCGACGGGGGGAAAGGTCGAGCCGGAGGTTTTCCTGCTCGACATGTCGAGCTTTGCCAGTGTGCGGCGTTTCGTCCTGGAATGCGAGCAACGCTTGGACAGGTTGGACGTGTTTGTGAGTTAGCTCCGCAACTAGGGGGAGGGCTCTGGCTGACTCTTAGATCGCCAACGCTGGTATCTATCCATTCAGCTACAAGGCCACCGCCGATGGGCTTGAATCGGCGTGGGTGCATCTCAAACTTCCGGAACCTACGAAGTGTGCTGACGGCCCAGTCTTCAGGTCAACGTAGCGTCTACATTACTGCTCTCCGAGCTCCTGCTTCCTCTCCTCCAGCGCACAGCCAAGAGTCCGCTCCACGGCATCCCCTCCAAACCACATCTCACGATCGTCTCCTCTTACACGCACCACTTCATCGGCGAGCTCCGAGGCTTTGGAGACGGGACGATTGTACAATGCGCCAACGACGAGCAAGCGTGGGAACACCTTGCGTATCGACGAGGCAAAGGTGAGTACAGATAGCGCTGTCCACATTGGTGAACTATGCTGAAGATGACTCTAAAGCTATCCTGATGCTCGCTATCCCTACGCTCGTCAAGATGGCCGGACCGGATGTCGTCGTCACTACTGCAGATCCAGGCACCGTAGCTACCAACGCCATGCACGAAGCGACCGGGTTGAACGCTTTGGCCATCGCGTGAGTAGTCTCGGCCCAGTTTATGGCTGGAGCTGATCAGCAGCGTCTTTGTGTACTGCGTCGCCCGTACCCCCGTACAAGGCGCTCTACCCGTCGTCTGGGCCGCGCTTGCGCCGATCCAATCAGGCGAGTATGTCGCGGATTGCAAGGTCACACCGTGAGTAGCCGTTATACCGGAGAAGCATACCAAGCTGAAACACTTAGACCATCCGCTATGGTGCAGTCAGATACCGACGGCTCTATTTCCGATAGCATATGGAAGGAGTTGAGAGCAATCTGGGCAAAGTAAAGTCGATCTAGATTCCGATTGGGACGATACTTCTTTGGGTGCTGGTATGCTATGTATATGGCCGCACTTGACCCCCGCTGTGCTCGTGACCCTGTCCAAGTCCAAATTTCCACCGAGAGGCGCGCAACGAGGGAAGAACCGATGGTCCACCTTGGTCGACCGCCACTTTGAATGCCGTAATAGTCTTCGCACTACATTCCTTTTCCGGTCAAGCGCTATGTAGATCAAGCGCGAAGTCTTTCCCCACCATACTCGTTAATCACCTCAACGCTATACCCAGCTCCGCCCGAGCTTCATGCACCCATGAGAGCTCTCAATCCCGTCAGATAGTACGGAAACATGCTCACTGCCCACCCCTCGCAGGGAGACATAGCGGGGGCTAGCGTTCTGGATCTGGATTGGCACTTTGGTGCAATTGCTGACATTTGATGCAGAGGTCGCCGTGATATAATCACAACTCATGCAGTCTTTGGATCGTTCCTCTCCTTGGGCATCTTCCGAGAGGGGTGGCCATCAGGACGGCCAACATCATGATCTCGGACCCGCGCCGCATCCCCTTCCCCTCCCCTTCGGCTTCGGGCTTTTCGTCCCCTCAAACTCTCTACCTCTTTACGCTTACTATCACGCGCGTCATCCAGATCCTAGCTGATGGGTGAATCTTCCTATTGCTTTCTATAGCTGTAGGTACAAAGGCTGACGGTGGCGACGGCTTTGGCGGAGATGGGTATATAGGGCCGGATTACTTCCACCTCTCCCTCTTTTCCACCCTGCATCCTTCTGCATCCTAGCTTACACCCCCACCCTTACTCGTCCACTTCATAGCTAACACCATCACTCATCCGCTCCATACCTCAAGATGTCATACACCGGCCCGATCAACCCCTTTCCGAACGCCAAGCACCTCCCCGTCTCGCTCTACGGCTACGTCCCCAACCAAGGCTTCAACGTCTTCGCGGCGGTCGCTTGGGGGCTGGTACTTGCTGCGCATTGTTGGTGGCTATACAAGAAGGGGCCGAGGGGGGCTCAGAGTCTGGTCGTTTTCGGATGCGTGAGTCCAAGTCTGATTCCAAGGTCAGGGTCTGCGATGGGCAAAATGGGCTCGAATCGAGGGGCCTCTCATTTCGCCAGTAACCAGCTGACCGCGCAGATCTGGGAACTCATCGGCTATTCCATCCGCGTCGACACCCACTCGGAGCCATTCTGCGCCGACCTCTTTATCGCCCAATACGCCATGCTTCACCCCGCGCCGGTCTTCTTTGTGATGGCGCTGGTCAATGCGATCGCGTGGGGGATGGAGGGAACGGACGATGCGAGTGTGTATGATAGGTTCAGGCCGAGGGCGTTTGCTGGGAGTGAGTGCTTCTTGCTTGACACCGCCGGTAGACAAAGGGTATGAAGGGACCGGGAGGAGCATGGATGAGGGGAACCCCATGCCAGAGCTAGAGCTGACATCTAGTTCTCCAAGCTCTCAACATCATCTCAATCACCCTCGTCGCGGTCGGTTCTACGATGTACGCTGTCGCGCTCGCTCGGATGGCCACTCCAGAGGCGGTCAAGTTCGACGGAGGAGCTGCGCGGAAAGTGTTGATTGCAGGTCATGCACTCCAGGTAGGTTATGAATCCCATCTTCCTTCTTCCCTGTCTGCATATCAGTCTCATCCCCTATATCTCCTCCTGTGCTATGCTGGACATGCTGAGTCACACTGGACTTGTCGGAAGCTTGAGCGTACTAATCCAAAGGACTGTTGGACCTCACTAGGGTGGCGAATCGCTCAAAATAGGGGGACGAGAAAAGTCTGTCTTCCCGCTTCCTCGCCCTGACGTTCCCGTCTGATCGGCCTAGTACCGAGCAACCTTTCATGCTCGTGCTGGTCCTTGCGGTGGAGCCAGGAAGTGACCGTTAGATTGCCACTCTGGGACGCCTTTGTACTCGCTGCCTTCAAAGTGAAACTTCAGTTGCGATCCAGATAGCTTCACAATCAAAGGGTAGGTTGCAAAGGATCACGATCTCCTCCCAGCCCGACCAGAGGCATATCAGCCAGGGCGACCCAACCTACTGCTCCCCTTCTTCCTCTCATATATATCACAGGCCAGCTTCCCGAACAGCGCTGCACCCATTCACCCCAGTAGTACGCATCTTCACCATGTCAACCGAGGCATCCCAGACGAAAACCTACCTCCCCCTGATCAGCTCAGACCAGAGGCTCGTGATCTCTCACGGGGGCAGGAGTACCGAAGGCACCTGGGTCAGGGGTACCAAAGACATCTACCTGACCCCGGAAGCCCGGGTGAGACTCGAAAGAATCGGTTTCGGCGGCGGCGGATCCTCCGCGACTGCCTCAGCTACCGATGTGCATGACGAGATCATGCAGAACGTGAAGAGGAAGCTCAACACGAAATCCAAAGTGGACATGGTGCTCCTTGGTCCTTTGGGCCGCCTTCTACTGACCGGCAGCACGGCGGGTGGGACGGCTGAAGAGGACTCCTGCATCACGTCCATCGACTTGATCATCCACGGTGATACCGCACGCAATCACAGAAAGATCAGCCTGTATCCGGACGAGGAGTAGCTTCGCTGTCGAGGGAGAAGTCGGAGTGTTCCAGGAGAGGCTCGGGTGAGGTGTAGTGTTGACAGAGGCCGCATGCATCAGTATTCTCACGTGATAATAAATGCGTCGACGATGGGTCAGAGGGTCAGTGCAAATAAGCGTTTCTTTTCAGCAGAGTGTGCCAGGGTAGAACAATCGAGTGACCCATGCCTTGTACACAGCCTTTCGTCGTTCTGCTGAAGTCTGGTCGGGTCGATGCGCGAATCAGGAGAGCACATCAAACTCGAGGCGCCGCACTTTTAAAAAGCCACGCCGACAGGTCGAGCTGGACGATCCTTTCACCGTGACTGTTCGGGCCTCATGCCTGCGAGTGACCTCTGTGCTCAGTACTCGTGCACTCTCCTCGCCGATCGCCGTACCTTGCGCCCCTTCTGTACTGATCCCGATGACCGTCTAGTCCCCTTCATCCCCCGGCCAGCCTCCCGCCTGACCTCCTGCACCCTCACAGTCCGCATCTCCCTCCTTGAGCTATATAACCGCCTCTTCTCCTGTTTTACTCTCCCCGCATCCTCCCCTCTTTACACCCAACAGACATTGCCCAACCTCAACCCACCTAGTCCCACATCAATACTGACTCACTCACCATGTCCTACGCCGACGAGAACGACTACGACGATATCCCTGACGATGCCGTCGTCGACGACGACCCGTGTGACGGGACCGTCTGCGGCAGCTGCGTCTTGTGCACCCAGCAGGACCATGACGATCTGCAGACGTGCGACGATTGCCAGCTCGCTACCTGCGGCGGCAGATGCACCGAGTGGAACCCGTAAGGACTCGGCGTGAGAGCTCGGGCATGCCAGGGCGAAGTGAGCCCCGGCCGGTGAAGTGTGCAGCGTGAGATGTAAGATGTAGCTTTAGGTCCATACATGCAGACCATTCAGAACCGTCATGTGGTCAAATTAAGGTCCGGTTGAGTATGACTGAGCATTAGGTCAGAAGTGCAGTTAGCAACCACACCAGACTGCCGCAAGGCATACATCCCAAGCTAGATGAGCAGCTACTCATCGCGGATTAAAGTACTGACTGAGAAGAGGCGTATCAAAATGTCCATAACAGGTCGTATAAGCAAGTAGGTGTAAGGCCTAAGGGAAGGATGTATCTAGGTAGGGGTAGGTGGAGGGTGTCGAACGAAGTATGACGGAGCAAAAGGTAGAAGGCGTCTCCCAAAGCTCGGGGACAAGACGACCAACGGACATCCCCATCCGCTCAAAGTGCCGCCCACGCCAAAACCGCCGCCAAAACCACCCCACCCGTCCCTACCTCGCTGCTCCTCCATCCGGCCGCCCTCGAGCTGCTCGCCGCCGAGCCGGCCCCACTCCCGCTGGGCGCCCCACTCCGACTGGCCGTACCTGTCACACTTCCACTCGCGGCCGCATTGTTGCCTCCGATTGAAACGGACGCCGAGGGTCCCGAGGCGCTGACGCTTCCAGGGGCAGAGGCCGATTGATTGGCGATGATCTGGGCGAAAGAGGGGTAGGTAAAGTTGGATTCGGCGTAGGGGGTCGTCCAGTTCATTCCGGATGCGACGGGGACGACGTGCGCAAAGGCGGCTTTGAGCTGGGGGAGCCATTTCATCAGGGTCGACATAGTGTAGTTGGCTGGAATGTCAGCGGGGTTCGAGCGGTAGCAAGGTGTCGCGATAGTGATGTAGAGCGATAGCTAGGATGGATGGTACCGAGGGAGGAACGGGGAGGGGGAGTTGGGATAAAGGGCGGGAGGGAGGGGTGAGACATGGAGTAGTGGTCACTTACTAGACTGGTGCGAAAGCAAGATCGTGCCCTGGGTGCTGTAGTTCCCGCCCTTGGCCTGATCAATGACGCCCTGGTACCGCCTGTCGACATCCGCGGGGGTAACGGCTGATCCGGCGACATTGGCACGCCAGTCGTTCTGCAAGTCAGCTCCATCCTCAAGTCATACAGCTTGCACCTCCGCCTCCACCTCCATCTCAATCTCCCTCCATGTCCCTCCCCTTCAGCTCCATCTCCCTCCACGTCCCTCCATTCCCCTCCACTTCCTCGTCCCCCTAATCTCCGCTTTCTCCAGCTAAAACCATAGCACCACCAATCAATGAAATGAACGTACAGAGTCTTCAATCCAGAGAATGTTGGTCAAGTTCAAACCGGCAGCGATAAGCCGGACCCGGTTATCGACATCACCCTGTGGCGGGCGCCTATTACATCAGCTCTTTCCCCAGGACGTTGAGAGAGGATCAGCTCACCAGCAGCGGGAGGTGAAGCCCATGAGGTCCTTGATGATCTGACGGGTGTAGTAGAGTTCCGCAAAGACTTGCTCGTTGGTCAACGAGGTCATGGCTCTGAATGATCAGCTCGATCCTGGATGTCTCGAGGTGTTGGAAGGCAAGCAAGAAGGAGACGTACTGGTGAGACCAAGTGTGAACGCAAATCTCGTGGCCGTCCTGGTGACCGCGCATAGCCTGCAACGGCCAGATCATGACGTTCGAGCCGATATAGTACCTGCTTGTCAGCCCAGGACCCCTCTTCTCCCCTTCCCGCCGATCTGATACTCACATCGAGACCTTCTGGTTCTGCTCCCTCAAGAAATCGTAGAATGCGTTCTGGGAGCAGTTCGGTCCGTCGTCGACCGTCATACCGAGCGAGTTGGGCTCGGGGATGCGGACCACGTCGGCGGGGATACCGAGTGAGGGGTTAGGGGTGGAGCATCCTTGCCAGGTCCACCAGCAGTCGGGGTCGGAGCGGTCCTGCGGGTCAGCGGTAGTTACAGTAAGGCAAAGAAGATGGATATGGAGGCAGTAGGCAGAGGTGGGGTTGAAGTCGAAGGAACGACAATGAGGATCACTGAACATCGTGGAAAACGGCTGAGCTGGTCTCACTCCCTGGCTCCGCTCAGAAATCGCCCCGCCTCTTTCCGTCAAATTTCCCCTCTCTTGTCCCATCATCGACCCCGTTCTTGCAGGCAAGCTCCACTTACATAGTTCGGCAGCCCCGGTGGCCCAGCAGCCGGCTTCAACCCCGCATTCGGCAGCTTCTCATTGACCGTCGCGTTGATACGCGCAAACAGCTCCCGTGCCGCTGTGTCCGCAGCGGGAATGGTAGCTGTTTGCCAGATGGTAGGGTAGTTTGCCTGGATAGCGGCTATCCGCGGGTACTGATAAGGCGTGCATTGTTGTTGAGGGTCTGAGCGTCAGTAAGAGATCAGTATAGGGTAGAGCTTGGACCCTTTGATCACGTGCGCTGCGCTTGGACCCCCTTCAGGTACGCGCCATTTCCGTCTCGGACGAGTCTTTCTCCGTCCCCTCCGGACTCATTCTACGCGCCGTTCTCCACTCATGAAGATCTCCTCCTCTACTCTGATCTCTGATCCACACCCTCCATGTCACACTCAAATACTCACCCTTAATTTGACTCTGACTCGCGACGTCCGTAGGCGCCGCCATTTGCCTAGGCACAATCAACTCGTGTCCACCGCATCCTGCATGCGCGACCGCTGGTGCTGGTGCCGCCACGAGAAGAAGAGAGAGCAGTGCCGCGATCATGCTGCCTGCTCGTATGGGTGAAGGGGGTGGTCGGTAAGGGGTCGGGAGCGATAGATGGGTTGTTGGGTTGATGAAGATCAGTGGGTGTCGCGTCGATCAGACAGGTATCTTCTCTTGTCGATATAGTCGAGAGGGATATGAAGGGAGGCGAGAGCGTGAAGATGCGGATGAAGAGGGATTAAAAGATGAAGGGATGTCGTAGGTATTAGCAAAGGGGCAACAAAGAAAGAGCCAAGCCAAAGTCAAGTCAAAGAGCAAGGAAAGAGCACCAGGTCAAAGCGCGTCAACACGCGTGACATCCCTGAAATTCGCCACCCTATAACGTAATAGCTTGGCGTTTCACCTGCGCTCACCTTGTCCCACCTGCACAGCTTGGCTGCTTGCTGACGTCGCTATGCATGCAAAGAGAGCCCAAGTCGCCGGTATATAGGCGGCTAGCACTACTGGTATCGCTCGCTGAGATCCCACGGAACAACGGTAGGATGGGGTCAGACCACCGTTGTGCTGTCATGACTCCTTTGACGCACGGGCTCCCGGTCCGGGTCGACCGAGCACAAAGTAGCCAGTCCTACTCATATGTAGGGGCGGGTCGAGATGAGACGAAGATCCAAAGCCATACTGATGATGAATAATCGCTCATCACGAGCTACTACTCACACTCTAGAATGCTGCCTTGCGATGCAAGTCTGAGATGTGTACCGGCGATGATAGCTCCTTTAAGAATGGCTGGCTCTCCAGTCCCATGTTTGCTACTCCTACTCATCACATCACTGGCGGTCCTGTAAGAGACAAAACACCTCACATGACTACTGACGTTTCATCATCATCTCCTTGTGGGACTATCGACGCATCTCTCCCCCACCATATCTACGCGACTTTTGAGCCGAAACACTGACTGCTCATCATCTCTTCATATCCCTCTCCGGCGGCGCAGACAATCTTGTCAAATTGGCGTTTCGGTATCCTTTGAGACCGAGCTCGTTCGCGATGTGATCTGCTCGTTATATGACAGCTCGCTCCTTCCCATTCCCCCCCTCGATCTTTTGTCTCTCTCGCCCACCTGCCACCTATTCACACACAGTCACACCTCAAGCTACTCACTTCACATCATGGCCAGCGAGGATTCCGATACCTTCAGCAATGCCCCAACTCTCACTGGGGACCCTCCTGTCGACACGCAACGCTCGCAGAGCCTCATGGTGATTGTTCGCCACCCTGCCGACGCCGCTTCAGCTGGCACCGGCTCCCACAAGCACTACATCCCCCGCCACCCGGTGCTCTCAAAGGGCGAGCTCCGAGCTTCCGACACCCAATACGCTTCAGACATCCTGGCATCCATCCTCGCTGACCCAGCTCGCAACGGGTCTGCCTTCGACCGGGGACGTTGCACGCTGAAGGAACAGGGAGACACCAAGCCTTCGTCCTCTGTCGAACAGTCGTGGAACGTCGGGCTTGGCATGTGCGATACTGTGTTGAAGCATGGCAGTCCAACAGAGAAGGCAGCTACTCTTCGGTCTGGAATGACACTACGCACGGAAGACGGCAGCACGGATATGCTCGAATGGCATCCTCACCTGTTCTACACGGAACACAAGGGTGACAACGGAAGGTCAGTCTCGCTCACGGAGGCTGAAAGCGGGACCGTCAAGCGATGGCGGGGGGCATCACCTCTGAAACTCGCCCGCACAACGCCTACTGAGGAGATGACGCGAACACTCTACGAGGCGATGGACAACAACTTGCGGGACTGGATGAACAACAACACTGGTTTCACGCTGGCACGTTGCGATTACTGATTGTTCTTACCAGTCGATGAAGTGGGCGGAGCGGATGCATGACTATACTTGTCTGCATGCTCACAGCGGTGATGTGACGGATCGATGGCCATCCAGCTTGCATTGTGATCCTTGTGTTCGGCGAGCTCGTTGTTGCCCTTTGCCACCCGGTCGACTTTAGACTCAGCCAGACCGAAGTATGACATTATCAAAACTGTGTAGTGCTCCTCCCTTCCGTTGCGCTCATGCCTGTTGGGCGCTACATGTCCGAGTTGATCGCGCCAAGACTAGCTTATTGGTCTACGTAGGGTCATGCGCGGTCAGGCGATTTGCAGTTTCGTATACCTGAATGTTGCTATATAGCTAACGAGCTCTTTTCAAACCGCACGCTGTCCATCAGGTTCTAGGATTGTGGGTGACCGCCAAGTCATGGATGGCTTACTGTTCGGTCCCATTCGTGCAGCTCATCCTACTGATCATACGACTGGCGGCTTGTCATGTGGCCAAACGCTTTGCATGTCTGTCCATTCATCGGTATCTCCTTGGATACACCATCGACGCATTCTGCCCCATCAGATCCGAGCGACTCAGTCTTTCCCCTACTTTTAAGCCGAAACACTGAAAGTGTATCTTCTTTTCACGTTCCTCCCCGGTGGCGCAGACAATCTGGTCGAGTGGGCGTTTCTTCATCCTTTGACAGTGGGCACGTTTGTGCCATTGCTGGCATCATATGAGCTCGACTCGCCTCTCTTCATCCCCGCGTCCTATTCCATTCTTCCCTTATCTTCACACATCCACAGCCCACCCCAATCACATCATCACACCATGTCCAGCAATGACGCCAACCCCCAAACCGGAGCCCCCGAGACCCCCACCGCTGCCTTCACTGATGATTTCCGACATTTGGGGAGCCAGATGGTGATTGTCCGCCACCGGGATGAGACGGGCAACGAATCGCACACGCACCGCCTGCCTCTCGCACCGGTCCGCGGAGAGGCTGTGGTCGCCGACCTCGATACTTCGTACGCCTCGTACTTCCTCGACAGTGTCCTCACTGACGAGTACCGCAACTGGTGCCGCAGCGACACTGTGTCTTGCGGGCTGAAGGCGCGAGGAGAGGTTCACTCTTCGTCTTCTGAAATACAGCCGTGGAATGTCGCCGTCGTCTCCGATATCTCGTTCCAGCTCAGCAATCTCAAGGGCGGTCAAGCTACCCTCATGCCGGGCCTGACGCTGCTCAGGGCCGAGGACGAGAGAGGTTCTCCGATGCTCAAATGGTGGCCTCACCTCTTTCACGCGCCGCACATAGCGGAAGGCGAGGTTCCTCTTGCGCTGAGTACCGCTGAGGACAACACCATCGCGGAGTGGGGAAACGCACCGATTGTCGCGGTTCAGCGTACGACGAATCCGGACGATATGACGC